GGGGTGTGCTTATGCTTGATGGGGAGGTTCCGGGTTCGATTCCGTAATTTGGCCAATTTAGGAAACGAACGTTTCAAGGTTGGTTTTAGCTGGCGATTCCGGGTATTGCCCTAAGAGTTATCGTCATTCTGATATTCGTAGTACAGGAAATTCCCTTACTTGAGGCCAGAAATTTAGTATAATTTTTTTCCACTTAATATTGCTTACTTTAGTCTTCTTAAGCTTCCTGTGCCGTCCGTGACGCAAATACGAGAATATCTGAGTAAGTTTTTCAACAACTACATCATTTGCACTAGCCGCTGTACTTCGCTCATTAGGCTCGGGGACGTCAGCTTTACTTCTCGTTAATGTTGTTGGGATGTCGCTGTCGATTGTCCCTTCCTCCTCGAGTTCAATCACGTACGCCATACGACCAGGGGCGAATAGCTCGTTGCGAGATACTTTTTTGTTTCTGAAACGAAATAATAACACCGTGTTACACGATTTTTGTTTCAAAGTTATCAATAATTATTAATAAGGTTGTATAACTAAGTTTTTATTGACTGTTAGGATGTTTCACCATTATGTTATTCAATTATTTTTTTGTGAAATTACCCTACTAGTTTGTTAGAGTTAAACTATTTACTTAACTGCCGCTGTGACCGAACGGTTATCATGCTGGACTGCCACACAAGAGGTCTCGGGTTTGATACCTGAGCCGGGAGAAATATTTTTTGGCCTACATGTATTTCTCTCGAGAGTTTGGGCGTATTTTGTGGTTGTCTATGAGTGTGTCCATGCCACGGGTGCCATGACACAGGGTCTCCCTAGTGCGGGGCTATAAGTGTGTACGTTATTTAACATTGAGTTATTAATTGGTTTAACAAGACATGTGACTGTGAAGTTTATTGTATTTGCTATGTTAAAATAAATGTGATACTGCTAAAAGAAATAGTTGATACTATATAGATATTTGACTTTTATTTTATTTTATTCGGAATAACAACAGCCATAAATAACGATTTATAACATTTTTGGGTAAAGCTAGTCAGCGCCAATTACATTTGTCCAAATGTTCGTTATCAAATATCTAAATTATGGTAAAAGTTAACACCGCAAAATAAAAATATAAAAATATAAAAAATTATAAAAAACAAAATAAACACAAAAGTACCTACAATAAGAAGCATAGCAAAAGGTGTAAAGCGACGTAAAGTTGAAGAGGTTGTAAACCGCTAATGCGCCGGGACCAGGATCACGGCAATAAAATAGAACATTCTGGTCCACATAATTTATAGCATAAGTAAAGTCGAAAGAAAAAAGGAAGGCCTGAAAGAGCCGAGTTATACAATATTACTAGGTTAGATTGGTATTAAAATTGGCACATGATTTAGGTTGGGAACTGGTAAAAGGAGCAGAGAGTGACCACCAGAAAAAAAGGTGATAAAAAGAGAAAAGGTGATAAAAAGGTGGGATGATGGTGGAAGGAGGTCGCATCGTCACAAAGTGTCAAAGCCTACAAAAAAGCGTCTATTAAAAAAATGTTATTGTTTAAATAAACACTAAACAAGAAAAATAAACCAATTTTGTAAGTGGTACTCCGCACTATATTCAAATTTCAGTTCTTTTCAAATATTTTCATAAATTTTAAACCCCATGTAGTTACGAACAAAAGCAGACAAATAAAAACAAAAATATGTTCCAAAAATTTTTGGATAGCAATGGATTTGACATAAGACTTACTTCTGTTCCGTAATCATGTTGTAAATATTCTTTCCTATGTCAGTTTTGAATGGCACTTCTTCTTCCTGCAACAAAAAATTAATAACAATTTCTTACGTTGAACATATAGCAATAATGCTGATCGGTGTTAATGCAGGATGGTATATATAAAAGACAAATATTATTATAATATAGCTACAGGCCTACTACTTGGTGCTCTGCACGCTGTGGGCCAGTCCCAACTACATCCAGATGAATGTGCCATTTTGCCCAAGTACTGCAGGACTAAAAAGGCCGTATTGGCAGAATCATAATAATAATAATATTGACAATTCATATTATGAATTTCTTACAATTCATATAACGCAATTCATCTATTTCACAGAACAGCACAAACCATATAGGTACCTATACTTATATTACATTTACACTGTTGTATACATGTCTTCATAACCGGTTGTAAAATATTTGCAATTTTGTTTACTGGCGGAAGATCGTCATCAGCTCCCAAAGTACAGGGTTACCCTAGTTTCTGAACTAATTGATAAGCCTGTCCACTGTTTTTTGTAATTTATGTATAACCATAATTTGTATATATTTTGTCACCTATGGTATTACAGATGTACTGAATAAATTATTATTACTGTTATTATTATATTTGACAGTGATTTGATATCTCCGTAGAACACTATCAAATTTGGAGGTCTCATTAGAACACTGTCAAACAGATGAATTGCGTTTTTTGTTTTGTTTTAAAAATTCATAATATGAATTGTCAATTAATCATATTATGATTCTGCCAATGCGGCCTTTTTAGTCCAGTAGCAGGAATAACTTTTCCTGTTGTTCAGGCACTAGTTTATTTAGATGTTGATACACTAACATAGACATAAGAATTCTCTTGTTATTTACCAATTTGGACTTGTTATTGACTTGTTATTTACAAATTGGAGTAGTCTGATTTATGAATAAATAAATAAAATTAAAAAATAACAATATTAATTATACTTACAACTGGTGCAACTTCCTTCTTTTCTTTGACAGCTTCAACAGGCTGTGTAACCAGTCTCTCCATCTCAGCCTCTTCCTCTAGTTCCCGAGACTGAATTTCTGAACGCACCTACAAATAAACATTTTTATACATAGAGATTATACATAATGTCAAATAATCGGCGACTGATTTTTGTCAAATAACACTGGCCCAAGCGAGTTGGGAACTTCTCACTTTATAATCTCAGTACAAAGTATTAAAAAATCGACCTTAAAATTTCGTGGAATTACATTTACATATTTGCCAAGTTTGATTGAAATCGGTTACCGGAAAGTGCGCGAAACCAGATTCATCCCATTAATTTGCCACCCTCAGAGGTGGAATATTTTCTTCAAATTTAAATGGGACCAATACTGAGGTATTCTCTTTCCAACAAAAAAAGATTGAGAGACTCCTGATTCTTTTGAAGAAGGTTAATAAAATCGAACAATATAAATTCTATATCCTTTCAATAAATTTATCAAAAGTTCGGCGAAAGCTTATTTCGACTTACTTCGAACTGATGCGATGATTAGTGACAAATGAAACATTCAAAAGATTATGTGTTAACTCAGACGGTCCACTGAATGTCTGTCAGCAAATAATAAGTGATAAACAAACACAACAAACCAAAAAAACAATCAAGGATCAGTAGCATTTGCGTCCAATAATTTAGCAACTACAAATCTGACTTGTGGGAGCATCGAAAAGAGCAATTATTGATGTTTTATTTACCAGAAATTCACAAAATCTTACCTTTTGCAGGAGAGCGTAATCAAGACCTTTGACTAAATGAGTATGCTCCATGTCACCACCAAGATATTTGGATTCCTGTAACACAAAAAATAGTTATTTACGAGCTATTTCATTCATGTAGCATGAAATTTAAACTGGCCATGTGATTACATGGCATTCTTATCAATTTAATAAATCTAAAAATTAATTTTAGATGAATTTTTAGCTTGTTTTATCAAACATTAAAGTACACCACTTGACTATAGACCAGCAATTATTTATTTGAAATAACTCATTATTACCTGAATAAGCTGTCTTCTCCTTTCTTTAGCATCCATACCAGATTTCAAATCAGGCGCTACTGCTCTGCAAAAATATAAAACAAACATCTTTCAAAGATATAGTTGCATATTACGTCGGTAGTAGTGCTGCAGGCTGAAATACTTTTTAAGGCGAGTTCACCAGATGAGAAGCGGAGAAAAACTGTTTCCTAAATCAAATGGTTTAGATATTTTAAGTAACGGTTGTACAGAAAATATAGAATACATCTAACAATATTGTCGAAAGAATATGCTCATTTGTCACATGATAGGATGTTCCATTCACATAAAATTCTGAAAATAGACTAAAATAAAAGTCTAAAATAAATTATTTAAGAATAAAAATATCTAATATTACACATAATTTTTATTTGCATATATTTCTATTTAAGCACGACGGTAAAAATTTGCATAATTTCATTAAGAAAGAAGATGTCCATAATATTAACCTTAGAACAAAGTTCACACTCATGGTACCACGATTTTGTTTAACTAAGGTAAACAATTATTTTATGGGGAACTGTATACGTTTTTACAATAAGATTCCGGAGAATATACAAAGATTATCATTTCCTACGTTTAAAACTTATTTTAATTGAAAAGTCATATCACAAAATTGAAGAGTATGTTTTAGATAAAGAAGTATGGAAAGACAACAAGAGTCTAGATTGCACACAATTATTACTCATAGTGTATTCCATAGCATTTAAGTTTATTTGAAAAAAGCAATCCCTACAGTTTCTTGCTCTTTCTTCTCAGGGAGGCAGCGTAGTGAACGACCAGTAGCTTAAAAAGTAGCTTGAAAAATGACGTTCTCAAGTGTAAAAATGTCACCTATGGAATAAATGATTATTTGACTTTGACTTTGACAGAGAACTTGCTATATTTTGGTTTTCAAGTCCTTATTAAATTAGCACTTATCCCAAAACTTGAAAATTGCCCAGCGGTTTAACGGCACGCCGCAATGCCTGCTGCCCCGTCTGTCGCCATTGGGCGCTTGTCAATGTCAGATCTGTGTAAAATTTTCTCCGCCTGTTCTTATTTAAACATATTACTTTCTGCGGGCGGATTGAGGGATGCGCGGGCCGCCCCCACACCTTATCTTCTAAAATCTAGGCTAGCGCTCAAACACCTTGCCTTAACAAATATCACACATGACAAGTACTAAGTAATTGAGATGATGGAAGCTGTGGTTTAGAGGCAACTCAAAATTTTAAGTTTATTTATCATCAAACACTGCTGAGCACGAGTCTCTTTTCAGGCGAGGACTTTGGGTCATATTCTACCACGCTAGCCCAATGCAGGTTGGGAACTTCACACATTTTCAGAGGGATGTGAACCTTCTTGACAAGCAGGTTTCATCACCACATTTTCCTTCACAAAAAAGCTCAAGGTGAATTTCAAATTCAATTTTGCACGTAAATTCCAAGATACTTAGGGTCGTATTCCAGAACTCTACTCAATACTCATGTCAGGACTTGAGTATTGCAGTGAGCACTGAAAATCATACTCAAGTCCTTGCCATTAGGGTCGTATTTCCAGTGCTTGATCTTGAATCATACTCAAGTCTGCTCAAATCCTGACTTGAGCATTAAGTACAGTTCTGGAATACGACCCTTAGAGTTCGAACCCTCGGCCTTTACTTGAAAGACAGTAGGTCAAATCATTAGGCTACCACAACTTAAGTTTATTAAAGTATTAAAAATATACATAATTGAGTGTTTAGATTTTCGTAATTACTACACATTTGCAAATTTGCGATCAGTGCATACCACAAATTGCAAATTCAATGGCGTGTGGAGTGTGTCCTTCGGCAAGGACTCCTCCTAGAACTCCCTTTCTCTACAGGATGTTTTTCCTTCTGAGTCATTTGCTATAGCTTCGAGTCACAAGCTGTAATGCACTGGCATTAGGGTGTCTCTCCAGCCCAACCCAGACCCCGATTCAGAACTCTTTGATATCTCAACTCAATCATTCAATTTGATATCATTCTCAAATCGAAGAGCACTTTCCTAGCTATTCAGACCATTCCAAGTCAAATGTTGGATTTGGATATGATATCGTTCTCCAACATTTATGGAGTTAGTCGGCGAATATAGATTATAAGAAAAATTTTATCCTCTTATGTACATTTTTAAGACTTTAAGGGCCTAAAATATAAGAATGCATTAGTCTCGCATTAAAATAAATTAATAAAATTGAACAAAATCTAGATTTATTTAAAGTAATAAAAGATTTCCATATTAGATTCTTGCTTTTGAAACAATAGGACGTTCTTTCATTTGATAACCGTGTTCTGAATAATATGTTTGTAGCCTTTGCCGGTCGCAAAGCACGGGTAATCGTACAGGAGTGATGTCACTTTGGTTCGGTTTTGAATACGACAGTTTGACGTTAAATTCAGTTATTGTGAATAAAAAAGAAAAGAAATTGTAAGATATCTAATTGAATCGGTCGACAACAGAGTTATCGTAAGGTTCTGAATCAACCTGCCGGTATCTCCGTCTTGGGTTTGCACTCTTCGTTGACTGTAGTTACTTGCAACTACAAACAATAATTGAGAATTGAACTATTTTTAACCAACTTCATTTCACATCTAAAGTTATGTATTATTGAAGATCCATTTCTCAAATAGATCTTTACAGGACCCATAGTCATGACTGATAATTTTAGATTGGAATAAATAGTTTCATTTCCGTAATACATGTCATAATTAACTAAACAATACCTATAAGCACTACTAGTATTGCTAGTAGGATCTGTAGGTCCCAAATCATTAAGTCCATCACGTCTCTCCCTCGCTCTGTCACGGTACTTGTCAGCCAACTCAGCTAACTTATTATCTTCTTGTTTCTTCAAAGCTGCATAGTAGGATTTCTTTTTACGCCGTAATTCACTTTTGTTTTCTGCTGGCGGGGGCATGGAACTGAAACATGATTAATTTCTTCTCCTGAGTGTCGGTGAAAACTATTACAAGATCAATCTAAAAGATGAACAGCATTATCTTGTGAAAGCTCTAGATGTTTTGATATGTTGAACTATAAACGTTTTTCTGAATATTCTGTTATTTTTTCCCTTTTTAGAAACGTGTTGCGAGCAAGCAATTCTCTCTATAGAGTATGCCAGCCTATTATAGTCCACAGATATGTCTCCAAAACTGAGGATTATCTACAGAGCAAAAAACAATGACAAGGTTATGTTTTGGGCAGGTTCTAAACATGTTTTACATTACCCAGCATTGGCCATGGCTTCACGTACTGATCCTGCAGGGTGTGCGCCCCCAGAAGGCGTAGCCCTTGGTGTCATAAGCAACTTCCTAAAATCATCGTTGGTCAGCCTCTGGGACATCGGAGTGTCCTCTACGCTTTTTTCCTCCATGATTACAATTTTCTTTCACACAGTACAACACAATAAAGAATATACGTATTTCGGTATTTTTAGATACTCAAAAATTAAATACAAATTGCCAACATGTGAAAAAGCACGTCGAAAAACAATTCTATCTATACGGCTTCCATTTTTTATTATTTAATTATATCATTCGTTCGTTCTTTCCATCCTCTAAGATTCGTTCATTCGATTATGCATGATTTTTTTTTTATTTATTAAGGCTTTGGCAAAGCCATCAATCTAAACATGGATTCATGCATGACATTTCATGCGTGTTGCCATTAATGCAATGTTGGTTTAGCTAGTTTATTTTAATATAGTAACACTAAACTCAAATCAAATCCAAAACTTCATTAATTCCATTGTTGCTTAGAATGGTAATGTCTACCTAAAAATAAATGTTATGATGCACATGCAGTGCCCACTGGAGAAGTACACCTAATATTGTTCAAGCATGATAGTTCCATGTCACGTAGATCAAATTGTACTCGTTCAAGATTAGGTGTACCCATTACCTTTAGAAGTTATTCGTGCCAAGAGGACTAGACGTGTTTCAAAAATAAAATATTGGGTATAAATAAGACAAAAAATAAACTACCTGAATATTTATTTTGCAATTTTCAAACAATTCTTATTCACAATTAAGTTAAATTTCGCTTATTCTATACTCTATATAGTTAGATCAAGTCATTGTAGACAAGAGGAAGACCATTCACAGATACACAAGTAAAAAGAATAAAAAAATGAAAAATATAATTAGAAATATTTTTTCTGATTTTAATAAATTAGCAGTAGACTAACGATCACTTAAACATAAGCATCCCAGGTTAAGTAGAGGTATTATTTTGTGTTTATCCAAAAATGGCATGGAAGGTGGTGCCCTTAAACCCAACATTACCAGTAGGTTCGTCTTGAAATGTTATGTACATTCTGAAACAAAAAGGAATCACACTTAAGTCACTGTGTTATTTTAAAGTTACCATTGAATACAGTGTTAATTCGTAAAATGGGCTGAAAATATCAAGGACTTGGGACTTTATGATAACATTTTCAGTGACAAGAGTTGTAATTATAATGTAATTATAATATAGTTCGTTGAAAAAAAAAAGAAAGTTAATAGTATACTACCATTGAGACAGATAGAAATATTAACAAAAGACAAATTAAAAAAACAAAAGGTAAATTAGGGCTAATATACAAAAAAAAAGTAACGACTACAAATTGAAATAATTACAATTAATAATAATATGCATAATATGCTAGACAACCACATTAACTATCCGGTCTACAGCAGTGAATTCCCTGTACTGAATTTAGAAAAGTTTATTTCCCAAATTAGTCCCATCGAAAATCGAACCAAGGAACTCCTTCACCAGCGCCCGCAGTGCCAACTGTATGGAAACAGAAATTGCCAAAAATGATGTAGTAAGTGGACATATCATGATGGATACACAGCTTGTATATACTATAGTAATCAATGGTAGTTAGTACCTATGTATTTGTGGTGTACATGAAAAACCTAAGATTAATATTATACAGAAACTGTAGTCAGTAGTTATTCTTAGATACTCAATGCATGCTAAGTGGTTCTGCACAGCCGAAGTTTAACAATGACACATTATGTGTTTATGAGATCATAACAATGAATGTTTTGTCAAACATATTACACCTGTGTTAAGCAACTAATAGAAGTATCTTGGCTATTTTAAATCATTTATTACTAGTGCTTGTAAGTAATGTAGTTAGTTTAATAGTTTCTAAGCCTTTATTATAGGACTAAATGACCTTTGACTCGTGTCTAGAGACAGCTGGCGAAATGATGCGACATCGGCGAAAATTTTTTCTCGCGATCGTTTCTAACTTCTACTCGAATGGAGACTGTGTGCCTCTTCGCCAGATATCTAAAGGACAACGTGCCTCTTCGCCAGATATCTAAAGGCATGTCGCCGAGTAAAAAAAAATCCGGATCCGATTTTAAAATCCGGTATCAAAGTCTAGTAAAACTTGTATCCGGATTTATTTAATTACAAATTATCCGGATTGCATTCCCTAGATGCGATAGTAAAAAGCCAACGAATCATAGTAAAATGTTTTACCTACTCCACCAAAATGTATAGAATAGGCTGGCATACTTTTTGCCATTCAAGGGGGGTAATCATAGTGAAATTTATTTGTAGTTATAGGACAATCACCTTTTAAATTTTTATTATAACCAAACCGCGTATTCAATAAGAGATGAATCCGTCAACTCGCCGAATCTATCCTGTAATGAATGACCAACCTAATGAAGAATCACTAGAAAACCTTAAATAATTGTAATACCTAAATGAATATTATTTTTGTTTCAAACAATAAGAACAATGTAAAGAACTTTTGTTGGTAATGAGAAAATTGTGTTCTTATAGGGACAATCAACTTGTAAAATTTTGCTTTTAGGATATATCCGGGACAGATCCGGCAACTCGCCGGATTAATCCTCTAACGAATAACTAATAGGTAACCTTAAATACATAGTTTTAAAAGAATATTATTTTTGTTTCAAACAATAAGAACAATGTGAGGAACTTTTGTTGTTAATGAGAAAATTATGTAAGAAAGATAAGTTATCTCACAATATGTGTAGGCTATTGTGTACAAAAAACAAGTCATTAAGGCTTATCTCTGTTTAGAAAGTTACTGATAGCAGTGACATTAAACTGTCTAACTAAGATGTAACACAATATTTATTTAACAATTTATTGATTATTAATTATAGTTAGTGTAATAATCTTCCAAAGGTAACAAATAAATAATTGCTTGTGCATAATATTCATGATACGTGTGGCGCACTATAAGTGTCCGGAATGAATAAAAAAAAAACTATTATAAATGGTCAGAAATGAATTTATTGTTTCCCAAAATATTCTCCGTTAGCGTTAATCAACTTTTCATACGAATGTACCAATTTTAAAACATTTATGCCACTCCTCCGTGACAATCTCCGAAACATATTTTTCATACTCTTTGACAGCCTCTTCAGGTGATGAAAATCGTTGACCGCGTAACTGGTTCTTAATTTTTGGAAATAAATAAAAGTCACAAAGTGCCAGATCAGGACTGTATGCGGATGGCTCATAAGGTCAACGTTGTTCACCTTCAAAAATTCATTTATCTGTCTGGCCGTGTGAGAACTGGCATTATCGTGGTGCAAGATGATACGGCGTTTACGGTTATTTTTAAGGAGTTTGTCAATAACTTCCGGCAAACAAATGGTCGTGTACCAATCACTATTCCCCGTACAACGATTCTCCAAAGCAACAGTAGCCACATGTCCAGTTTTATTAAAAAAATAAATAATCATCCGCTTAGAGGCACTTTGCACGCGCGCCACTTTGGTTGGTTTCGGCTCATCTCGAAAGACCCATACACTCGATTGCTGCTTTGTTTTGGGATCGTAACTATAAATCCATGTTCTGTCACCTGTTACTATGTCCCACACCAAATTTGACGCCCCTTCTTGAATCTAGTAAGCATGGCGTTGAATCTAGTAAGCATGGCATTGCACCAAGTGACGTCCGTTTTTTGAGCCTCAGTCAAATTGTGTAGGATCCACCGAGAGCACAGCTTCACACCCAAATGTTTGTGTAGTATTGATTGTATTTGACTCATGCTTATGCCTAAAGATGCCCGAATCTCATGGTACGTCTCATGCCTGTCTGTTTTGATCATACGGCGCACAGAATCGATGTTTTTGTTGTTTACGGCAGTGGACGGGCGACCATCACGAAATTCGTCACTGAGATTCACACAACCGCGTTTGAATTCTACAAACCAGCTATAAATAGTCGTCTTGCATGGTGCTTCATCGCCAAAAGCAGTTTGAAGCCGAGCGAAGCTCCACCGAGCTGTTAAATTACAGTTAAAGTCATAGAAAATCATACTACGAAAATTTTCACGAGTTAAATCCATGATGATGTAGGTAGACAACCGATTTCTAAAATGACGCCACAACGTAAAAACAAGTGACAGTCAGATAATGCAAACTGTATTCTACCGCCAAAGAGTTCCATTTTCAAATGTTGTAATTATTTTATAAATATTGTTTATGTAAGTGGCCAGTTCCGGAAACTTATAGTGCGCTCTATGTAGATACAAAAATTAGGAGTAAAACAATATTAATGAAATTAGGTAATCTCAAAATTGGTCTTTATCTAGCCCAAAAAGCTGCGAAGCTGAAATGGAATTGGGCCGGTCATGTCTGCCGCATGCCTGCGGCCAAGCCGCTGCAAACTGTGGGCCAAGGTAACCACCCAGTAGAACCCCAAAAGCGTAAGACGCCGCGGCAGACCGAGAAAGCGATAGCGTGACGGACTGGATGCCTATGATAAAGCTTGGGTCCAGTTAACTCCGCATCGGGATGCTTGGAGGGTACAGGAGGGTGCCTTTGCCCAGCAGTGGCATACATCAGGCTAATTTGTGAGTGACGCTCAAAATACAATGCAACATAATTACAATAACCTTTGTAAATGGGCTCATGATATGGGATTGGTAATAAATTCCAACAAAACCAAACTAGTTCACATACACTCGCCATACATAAAAACAACTCATCTGCCAGTAATCGTTGCGCACGATCATCAGTGCTTACATCAACAGTCTCCTGTCACCGGCAACAGCGCTATACGTTCATGTGCATGTATGGCGTTACAAGTGGTTGAGCAGCATGTATATTTGGGTCTTGTTATTGACAAACATTTTAATTGGGGACCGCATATTGAAAGTGTGACTAACAAGCTAAGGTCAATTAATGCTAAACTTTCAATTTTAAAGTATAAGTTACCATATCATACACTTAGAATGTTGTACCTTGCATTGGCGGATTCAATAATTGCTTATGGATTAGGTAGCTATGGACGTACTTACAAAACATACATAGATAAAATATACAAATTGCAGGTTAGTATACTGAAATCGATAGTGTCAAATAAAGTTAAAAATAAATATATAATGATGACGACCTCGGTCTTTTCAAACATTGTAAGGTGATGTCGGTTTTTGAGAAGTCCAATATGATTATTTTATTGGACAACTTTGACAAGATTGGCCAAATCATGAAAACGAGCAGAGATGGTCGGTTACGCAACATCACTTACCTGCCCACATATCAACTGCCTAGAACCACTAATACGTACGGTATGAGGGCGGCTAACTACATGTTGCCTGACATACTAAATAAATTACAGCAGAGTTTCATGAGGATATTTTCTCAAGTGTAAAAAAATGTAAACAAGCTGTAAAACGTTATTATTTCGGTGGATTTAAAGGGCAGAATTCATAACTTTATTTACTTATATTATATTATTTTTTAGTTTAAATTATAATATTTTTGTCTTAGTATTTAGTTATTGCGACTCAATTCCTTTCGCATAAACCCATTAAAGGGTTTTTGAAAGGAAAATCTAAATGTACATATGTGTTAATTGTAAATTGAATAATAAATTTAAAAAAAAAATTGTATCATTCATTATGTAAACAATATAATAATTGTATTAAGTCATTAAACATTTGAACTACCGCTCCGATGCTTGTTGAAGTTAGAATTAAAACCACAAAAAATGATTACGTCGGGAATAGTGCAAGACCGCGTATGTAGTATTGGTAAAAGGCGCGTATATGCTCTAGACCACATTTTACGGCAGAGGGATTTAATATTCCTTCCATTATGCAAAATACGTCATCAACATACCTCTTCCATAATTTTATTGCCGCATTGAAGCCATCGAGATCACGAAGTACAAAACATTTAACCGTGATGATGGTTTTAAACTGTCCAGTGCATGGAATCCGGTCCTTAGTGCGTGCAGTAATAAAAACAAAAACACCTCGAGTTCAGTTTCGCGTGTGGATACAGTGAGTGTGGTTTGTGTGAAAAAAGTGAGTGACAATGGTAACGCCACAACAAATCGCGATGAAGGTAGTCGTCGACAGCGCAAGAGGGTAGACAGATATGTCTGCTCATAAAGCTGTCATCTGCCGCCGTCCAGTCAACCCGTGACCATGGAGCGTGCAACCGTTCCGAAATATCGGGAAAATAAAAAGAAGTCATACCGTGTAAGAAACCTGATACTAGTGATAATCATTTAATGTTACTATTTTGTTACTTCAATGTATCCAATTTTCATTTTTGCATGGTAACCATTATGTTGTCTACGGATTGATAACAATAGATCCTCGTAAATGGCGCTAATTTGGTTGAAACGATATTTACGCGGTTTTGATTTGGTCATTCAATTACCGAAATGGAAACTCATAGTCCAATGCTAGTTACGCGTAATTGCACTATAGTCCATTTGTTTAGGTATTTAACTAAATGTAAACACATTTAAAAAAATATTTTTACTTACCTTGAAATACAAAATAAATGCCTATTTTTATACCTATTGATATGTAAAGTGTGTATATGTTTCAATAAAAAGATGTATCAAGATTGTTTACACTTAGTTAAGTACCTAAACAAATGGACTATGTCTCCGAAGATTAATTAGGAAAATGACTACTCAAGTCAAATTACATCTTGTTAATAATATATACTTATCTTACCAAATTAAAATTAATTTCCAAGAGCAAAACAACTGCTAGAAATTATTTAGTACAAAAACCATAGTCACCTGTCTTGTGGTACTCCCAGTTCTTTTTCAACAATTTCAAAAAGAACTTTCGCATGTTTCTTGTTTTGCTCTACGCCCAGAGCACCAATCGACATGAGATTGGCAATGGCACATGGCTCGGTGGATCCTCCAAAGCACATTGGCAATTCTGGTATCACTGATACTACACAGTACTGAAAAGAATTAATTATTCTAAGTTATTTTTATTTTTTAACTATCAATAAAAAACACCATATTTAGCACATGAAACCACATCCTACCATGACTCAAACAAGATAGAATTAAGAAAAGGAGAATGCAAATTTATCAGTTCCGGATGGAACTGAACCAGTAATGTTTTGAACTTTCAAATCGTGTTTTTTTAATTTCGACATTTTGGCTATGACAGTATTTGATTTCACATGCCATTTACTACAATAATAATAAAGTATCATCCAATGACACAAATTACATAGTCTCATACAAGGGAATTCCCTTTATTATGTGTGCTACCCAGAACACCTAGACCAGAAACAAATTCAAATTCAAAATAATCTTTATTTCATGGGTAAGCATTATTACACTTGAAATCGTCACAATGGTTAAACTCTACCGCTCATTCGTAAGGCAGATTCCCCTGAGAAGAATGAGCAAGAAACTCTAGGGGTTGCTCTTTGTAAATAACATTTACAATATTTTTTTTATTTTTTATTTGAAACATCAGAGATCGAGACTACCTCCATGAGCTAAACGGGTCACTACCACGGATTTTTGTCATCCAAGTACGCAGAAGTTGTATAATAACCTTTAGTATAAAGTTTTTGTTTCACTATAGTTTTAAACCTCGTGAGAGGCAAATTTTGTATATCAACCGGAATCTTGTTATACATATAACATATAACAATTTAGAAAAATTTATTTCCCTCATATGTTCTAACGGGAATCCAATCTGAGACCTCATCCAGTACACAATGACGACAGTAATGTTTAAATATGCTTTTTATAACTTAACAAAAAAAGAAAATGTGACTTAAGGAGCATATTTACCCACTTTTCCATCTTAGGTACTATTTTATGAAATAAATATTTATATACATATTTACATAGTCTATAGTAATTTAATGTTATTGTATGTTTATGTATTTGTTTTTTTTTTGGTCAAGTAAGCCCGTTATTTTAGTTCTTTCGTACGTGTGGCGCACTATAAGTTTCTTGAATGAATAAAAAAAAAAACCATAAATGGTCACAAATGAATTTATTGTTTCTCAAAATATTCTGTTAGCATTAATGCACTTTTTCATACGAATGAACAAATTTTGAAAACATTTATGCCGCTCCTCCGTGACAATCTCTGAAACATATTTTTCATACTCTTCAACAGCCTCTTCAGGTGATGAAAATCGTTGACCATGTAACTGGTTCTTAATTTTTGGAAATAAGCAAAAGTCACGAGGTGCCAGGCCGGGACTGTATGCGGGATGGCTCATAAGGTCAACGTTGTTCACATTCAAAAATTCATTTGTCTGCGTGGCCTTGTGTGAACTGGCATTATTTATTTATTTAATCTTTTTGCACAATACATTAATGTACAAATGGAGGAAATGCCATAAGGCATTCTCTACTAGTCAACCATTGGGCCAAACAGAAAAAAAATATTATTATGTGCAAGATGATACGGTTACGGTTATTTTTAAGGAGTTTGTCAATAACTTCCAGCAAACAAATGGTCGTGTATAAATCACTATTCACGGTACAACGATTCTCCAAAGCAACAGTAGCCACATGTCCAGTTTTATTTTATTTTTTATTTTTTTTATAATAACGCACACACTCAACATATTAAAAAAAAGAAGCAATCATCCGCTTAGAGGCACTTTGCACGCGCGCCACTTTGGTCGATTTCGGCTCATCTCGAAAGCCCCATACGCTCGATTGCTGCTTTGGTTTGGGATCATAACTATAAATTCATATTTCGTCACCTGTTACTATGTCCCACACAAAATTTGACGCCCCTTTGTTGAATCTGGTAAGTACTTGTCATGCAAGTTACTTGGTGCATGGCATTGCACCAAATGACGCCATCCGTTTTTTGAGCCTCAGTCATATTGTGTGGGATCCACAAGAGCACAGCTTTTTCACATCCAAATGTTTGTGTGGTATTGATTGTATTTGACCCAAGCCTATGCCTAAAGGTGCCCGAATCTTATGGTATGTCACATGCCTGTCTGTTTTGATCGTACGGCGCACAGCATCTATGTTTTTGTTGTTCACAGCACGGGCGACCATCACGAAATTCGTCACTGAGATTCACACGACCGCGTTTGAATTCTGCAAACCAGCTATAAATTGTCGTCTTGCGTGGAGCTTCATCGCCAAAAGCAGTTTGAAGCCTAGCTAAGCTCCACTGAGCTGTTATTATAAGAAATTACACTTAAAGTCGTAGAAAATCATATTATGAAAATTTTCACGAGTTAAAGCCATAATGATGTAGACATCCAATTTCTAAAATGACACCACAATGTAAAAACAAGTGACAGTCAGATGAAACACTGTATTCTACAGCCAAAGAGTTCCATTTTCAAATGTTGTAATTATTTTTTAAATATTATTTATGTTAGTGGCCAGTTCTGGAAACTTATAGTGCGCCCTATGTAATTAGGATGTGCTAAAATGTTCTAAAAGAAAGAAATTTCTTTTAGAAATAAGCAGAACCTTTTGTTTGTTTTTCTTTTATCAATTGTAAGTGGTGTTTTTTCTGTGGAATAAACTAAAATAAATAAATAAATTATCTACTTAAATTATATTTTTTTTATAAATAAAAAACCTTCCTCAAAAGTTTGTGGAATTACATCTATTTAACAAGTTTTATTAAAATCGGTCACCGGAAAGTGCACAAAATCAGATTCATACGAAGAAGTGGATTATCATCAGATCTAAATGGGACCAATACTGAGGTACCTTCTGTCCAATAAAAAAGAATCATCACAATCGGTTCACAAATCCAGAGTAATAGCATAACATACATACAAAAAAAACTGTTGAATTAAAAACCTCCTTTTTTGAAGTCAGTTAACAATTAATTATCTTTCTATATTACATAGTCATTTATTAATAACCAATAAAAAGTCATGAATGCCAGTGAACAATTTGTTAAATATGCATTATGTACACATAATTATAAAATTATTAAAAAAAAAGTTTTGATAATTATGATGTCTATACCAAGAGGTGACCTTCAGGTATCAATAATAATTGTACGTTGATTAAATGACAGCTTCAAAATGATCAACAGCAACGCTTTATCTACATACATTTCGAAATTCATTTTAGTTCTACAACAGATGACAACACCAACATTTACTTATTATTAAGGCAACGTATTGAAGAACAATATTATCATTGGAAGAACATAATTTATGTAAAACATTCACAAAAATCAGTACCTGTTCCGGCTTCCCGAGAGCTTTAGCAAGAACCGGCACAACTTTCGTGACAAAATCCGTGGGTATTTTAGATTTCGGTACATTTGTTTCGATTCTAAAATGCGGCATTTTGTTTACTCTGTACGATTCGATATAAATACAATTAAAAAAACGAACAGTGCGAGTAGGCGAACGCAAAAAGTGTTTTTACTTTCTAAGCATGCAATAAAAAAAATTGCAGCACTATATGAAATGTCAGTCTTTGTGAATGTCAAAGTTTTTTTTTTAATTTATTAAGGCTTTGGCAAAGCCATAAGCCTAAGCATGAAGTTTAATTATGTTTCTGTAAATATGGCCGCCACAAAAGAGGATAGGCAATTTGAGGTGGCGTGCTTGGATTGACTCGGGATTCCTGAAAACGGGCCGATACGGGTATTTTAGTTCGAGATCGAGATTCGTATAAGGCACAATAGCACTATCCTATTTCACTTTAAACTAGATTTCACAAAATAATTGAAAGTCAAAATAAAAACGACACTTTTCCCTCCGTAAGGTCCAGATTTATGTCAAAGTCACATTGGCATTGTTTTTTTTAAATTTAATAGTTTTGGCCATATCTTCGTTTAATTATCGGGATCCTCAGTAATATTTTCCATTGTAGTTCTAATTCTAATACTTATGTTTTCACTTTCTCTTGAATAACTTAGTTCGAAACACATGGGTTTTTTAAATAGCGTTTTAAGTCAATGTTTACGTTTTACCTTTCACTTAAATCATATTCATCACTATTTCTTTCTTCGTTTTTTCTTCTTATTATACTTAAAATAAAAATAATCTTTGTAAAAACTGTACTCGTATCCTCAAAAACCTGCCATATTCACTGAAAACATACACACTGGCATTGAACAGGAAATGCGAATGAAGGAACGCGACTCGGTGGCACGTCTTCCGAGTACATAACCCTACACTAAATACAGCGGCAAATCCTAGAGATAACTGCAAACAACATTAATTCCATCCTAGCAACTTCCCGACGAATTTGCCAACACAATAGTGCAGGCGCAGAGTCACTCGTCGCTGAATTATATAATGCTGCATAAATAGTTACATTTTGTAACTATTCGAGGGCTCCGAGGCAAAACCCAACTGAAATGTTAGATTCGAGATAATTGAAATTTAACTTTCAATATCAATTAAATATGGCTTAAAAGTTAAATAAAAGGTAAAAACTAAAAAAATATATTCAAAAATATATCCGACCGGATCGAAGGAATTTATTCTGAGTGTTTTTTTGAGTGTTCGATCTTTGTATTAATAAATATAACAAATTAGTGGAGTAATTTCACAAAAAATAATTGAATATCAATTCAATAAATATTTTATTAATATATTCAAGGTTTTTTTTTTACACTTAATAGTTGTATCGTAGTAAAATAAATGATAAAAAAATTATATTTAATACCACAAGGTACAGACTTATTGGGTTATAGCACGAATAAAACGTTATAAGTATAGATTAGTTATTGGGTTTCTTGGAATAAACTAAATTAACACTAAGAAAAAAGAGCAAAGATGTGAAAAGTAATTTAAAAGTGAACTCGTTAAAAATACGAATATTACTACGTTATTTACCAAGTTACTGAACATTTTTGTGCAAATATTAACATGAAAACAACCGAGTTAAAAAGTAAAGACGCGATGTATGAATGAAGTATTCGACTCGGCGAGAACCGAACCGAGCTAGCTCGAGTTCACAAAAAGTAGCTCGAGTTGACTCGTTGTGGGAGAGTAACTCGAGTTAAATAACTCAACTCGCCCATCACTCGCGACTCGAGCGTGCTTCGAAGGTCACCGAACCGAGTTAGCTTGAGTTGACTCGTTGTAGGAGTAACTCGAGTTAAATAACTCTACTCGCCCATCGAGGAAAATTCTCTTCTTCCAGGAATTCTCGCAGCTACCGTATAGTATCTAGTTTGTAATTTTTATGCTAAAAACAATACAATTGACATAAAGTTTACTATGCTATTCATCGTCAAATCACATGTTCAATGTCTATGGTTGGTAAATTCCTTGAATAGAGCGGTGTATTACGCTACCTATTATACCGATAACAATGCATTTTATTAATGTACATCACAAACTAATAAGAGATACTACGTATGTCTATCTATGTATATATCTCTTAAGTCATATGAATTATTATCGAGTACTTAGATTTCAAATTTTGTTTTTCAAACGGTCGACGGATGTCTAATTTAAAGCCAACCACACCGTAATGAACTTTAGGCACAATAGTAGTTTATGTGACTGTTATATAATGAAAGGCATTAAAATACGAGTGAGAGTTGTTTAGTCATAAAAACATCTCACGAGTAAAAATAGTCATATACAAAAATATTTTAACGATGTGTAGTTTTACTAAATTGAATTATACTTATATATTGCTCAGTTTTATCTGTTTTTGCTGTTTGAAAGTACATAAATTGTTGAATGTAAACTTGATTTGATTTAGTCATATATGTGTAGACAGACTAGTCCTACTCTCGTGCTTCCAAAATAATAATTATTACCTTTACAAAGCATACCTTTACTTGAAATGCATGCATAATACTAGTTTTAAATGTATCGATTTTATAAATATTTAACGTTTATGTATGTATTTAGTTGGTAAGCCTTACTAAATAAATAAATAAAATAATGTATAATAAAAAAAAATTTCGCTTCCAGTTTTAAATAATGTTTTAATTTTTATTAAATACGTCAATGAACCCATGTCACATTACACCTACTTGATTTTTAATCATGTTTAAAAAAAATTGCTCTAAAATATACATTTTGGTTTACCGTAGTGACAAGATCATATTTGATAGAATAAATTATTGTAACGTATTCTTAGTATCTTATTATAAACCTTTTCTTAACATTGTAGTTTATAGTCCCAATCAAAAATCAATTTTCATTCCTATCAACTTCTTGCTTTTTCTAAGGAAATGCAATATATTTAGCGTGCTGTGTTTTGTGAGAATGGATTAATAACGAACTAATTTTCTTAAGCATTATATATAATTTTCACTCTTGAAGAGAGTATCACTTCTATTAGCTAAATTTTTTTACCGATATCGATACGTTATCAATTTTATCGACAAAAGAACTCTTATCTTTATCGTCGTTAACAAGCCCCACTTAAACAGACGTAGAACAGATGTATCTTGCTCTTTCTAACTTACAAATACTAAATCCTTTCAAAAGAGACAGACAAACAAAAGGATGCAAATATAAAGCTATGAAGGTATGCAAGTTTATCATAATCACTGTTCTAAAGCATTTTAGAGTGCAAGTTAGTGCGACACGTGGATGACGAGTTCGCGTCGTGTTAAATATTTTATTTTGTGATTTTGTGTTAGAAATTCTACGTTTTGGTTTTATAAGTAATTTTCTGCACTTTCGTACTTAAAGCCCTTTGTGAACATTTCCACCATGGGTAATGACGAGTCAAAATCATACAGAAAAAGGTAACTATTTTATATAGTTTAATACATTTGATAACAACCATACATAAAAAGGTAATGTACTATTTTAGTATAATACATTTGATAACTACTCGGTAAAAGTAACTGCTATGATTGTAAAGGTATATAATGAAAAAGACAGGGTTGAATTAAAAAAGATTCGTTATAAGTTTAAAGCGGCCCCGGATACTCACTACTTTCTTTCTTTTGTGAAAACGTAGGTTTTATTGTAATGTACCTACTTAATCAGTATTCTTATAAAAATAGCAGTCAGTGGGTACATACTATGCACTTACTGCATTTGTACGTACCTAAAGTAAGTATAGGTTGGTATATTAACTAATTAAGTATGTTGGTTTTAACGACTTTGGAGGCCCAAAGATATGAAATGTGGGCGCTAGATGGGGTTTCGGATCTTTTGGGTAAAGAACGTAGTTCTGTTGTTCCATTGTACTGGTAGGTATTCATTGTTCAGGGAATATCCCAGGTTGAAAAGTAATTGGTGTAGTTACTTTGTCTGGTACGTTATTATACACAGTTATATGTTATGTAGGGCTCGGCAGAACCGGTCCGGTTCCTGTAATTTTAATTCCAGGTGCTGGACCCCGATACAGAACTATTCGATATTTTAACCGGATCGTTCGATTGGATATCGTTCTCGAATCGAAGGGCACAGACTTAAAGGCTTAAATATAGGAATGCATTAATCTTACATTAAAATAAATTAATATATAGGACGTTCGGTCGGTAACTTCCATTCGATAACTGTATTCTGAATAACGTTTGTACCCTTTGCCAATCGAGAAGTTCAAGTAATCGTACGGGTATGACGTCATTTCGATTTGGTTTCGATTACGGACAGTTTGACGTTCGATTCGAGTGTTGTGAATAAAAATGAAAAGAAATCGTACGATGTCAAATCGAATCGGTCTGAATCGTTCGGAAGGTTCTGAATCGACCCCCTGTACCGGTATTCTCGGTATTTCTAATATTTCATAAATGAATTCCGTATTTATCTTTTTTAAAATACTTCGACTAGACAATACTTCGACTACACATTAATTCGACGGAACATTACTTCGACAAAACACACGTTCGACAGGTCACTAGCTCGACAACACAAACATTCGATAGGTCACTACACCGACAGAAAACTACTTCGACAACACATGTATTTGACAGGTCACTATTCCGACAGAACATGAAATATTTAATATAAATATATTACTGAGAGAGTACTTAGGGACCATTTTATTCTTGAGCGGAATATCTCATATACATAAATATGTATGTCTGAGAAATAATTAATAACTAGTTAAGCAGTCACTTGTCGATTTGATGTTCTGTCGGAATAGTGACATATCGAATGTTGGTGTTGTCGCAGCAGTATTCTGTCGGACTAGTGACCTGTCGAACAAGTGTTTTGTCGAAGTAATGTCCGTCAAATTAATATGTGGTCAAAGTACTGTCGAGTCGAAATAGTTTGTCGAAATTAAGTACGACACTCATTATTTTGTGATTTTTCAAAGTTGAAATTATGAAATGAGACACCCTTTACTAATACATACATAGCTAGGTATATGAATGTTTTTATTATTAATGTATTAGGTGCTAATGTATCTTAATGCATTTACAGTGGAATGTCTCAAGCGGAAGTGGACAGACTTTTAGAGGCACAGAGACGCAAATATGAACAACAGTTAAAGGCATCGCGAGCTCAGGCGGAGGCAGCATTGGCGGCGGCGATAGCAGCCGCGGGGTCGCCGACTGTGACGTCAGCGGGGTCGCCGGCTGCGATGTCAGCTGGGTCACCCGCTGCCACAACACCTGTGTCAGCCTTTGCGGCGGCCACATCGAGGGTATCTACTGCGAAGTGAGAATCACATTATGCAAAGATCATTTTAAATTAGTCGATACATATAACTTGACACGTATAAGCGCTTCTACGACGTCGTCCGTAAATATAGATCATAGGTTCCCAAACTTTTTGGTTCACGACTCACTAAGACGAGATAAAAAAATTTCAACGCCCACAAAAAATTAATGAAAACACGTTTTCTTTATATTAACACAAAAATCACAAGGCAAAACGACAGCATCAACGCCCCCCCCAATTGATTCAGAGGCCCCTAGGGCCCCTACGACTCTTCAGCGTCCACAGGTCGAAACAATTGTCAAATAAGATAGAATTATATTACTCGAATTACTTATTTGACAGTAAGGGCGCGTTTATTCGACACGAATTTCATCGCCGCCGCGTACGTCTGTCATGGCAAAATACGCTCTATTTGTTTAACTTTTACGTTTTAACTTAAGTGAGCGTTCCGGACACGCGGGTGAGTTTGGCTTGAATTTGATCTCCGCGGCGGCACGCGTTACGACCGCGCGGTCTAGAGCGGAGTCCGCGGCAGTTTTATTCAGAGGAATTTAAATGTTGTTGCCTAGTAAATAGAATTTAGATTCGCCATTAATGTACATGAAGGCGTGGTAACTGGACGGTCGCCGCGCGGCGGCCGCGCGAAAACTTTCTCCTCGTGTAACTGGGCGCTAATTGTTTCTGACGGATTTTCTTCGAACTAAGTTCTTATACATATTAATTTTTGTGAAGTCTCCAAATACGAATGCAAACTAAAATTGACCAGATATCTCTTGCTCCTTAACTACGATGAGACTGAAAATCTACTAAAAGACGTCAAATAACCTCACATTTCCACACTCACAAACACACACGCACACACACAGACACACAAGCACTCACACACTTAGGCACACACTCACTCACGCATTCAGACACACTCACTTACTCACTCGAAAGTTTACTTATTTTTTACTTCCTCCTCAGTACTTTGTATTTCGACATTACTACTAACATGACTATCCTAGGGGTTGGGTGCCTGGAGACCCATATTACAAGCTCTGCTTAGTTTGGGCTCCAGTCTCCCACAATACATTACTCTAAGCTTACGTAATAATGTATATTTACTGTAATTGTAACGTTTCTTTGTATTATGTTGTGGAGATAAATAAATAATTAAAAAAATATATATAATATATTAATTCTTAAGTTCTTAGATTACTTCGGTCTGTTACTATGCAAGGCAATCTTATGCCTTATTCTCAATAATTTAAGGCAACTTTATATATTCCTTTAGCAACGTTAGCGGTATTCAAATTGATATGCTATATTATGTACACGTCTGTAGCAGTAGAGTTCCTTGTGAAAGAGTTCGTCTATAATCATTCGTTCGTCATCAACTTCATGCAGTCGAGGTCTCGGATAACGACTTCACGAATTAACTGCATTAAGTTGATCTCGACTGCATGAGTCGTTCGAGTTCGTGCATATAATGCGTGAGGTCGGTATCAACTTCATGCAGTCGAGTTCTCGGATAACGACTCAAAACATGCAATCAATCTGTTAGCAGCCAAAGTCTTTCGCTTTTATGACATGGACATAAAAGTTTATTTCTGCCCGACTTAATTGTGTTCCCAGTCGTTAAGTAGGTGACAGCCTTTCGCTACAATTATTATAAGGTGCCCGATGACCACCACACGGGCTCTTGCGTTGCACAGGGTTAGCACTGTTGAGAGCCGTCTATTTAAATATTTTAATTTTTGTTCGAAAGTAAAGTGTGATGACTTATTGAAAGTCATGAAACAAAAATAAAATGTTGTTTATGATATTAGTAATATAGTCCTATTAGGTTGTTAGTATTTAACAAATAACCCTGTCTAATGGACTATATATTTATTTATTTTGTAATGGAAATGGTAACGTTCCTTTTTTTAACGATTTTTATGATATACATTATATATTATTAATAACTTTGAAGTTTAATTTTTTTTAAATGTTTTGTTACATTAAAATGTAATTAAAAATATTGTAAATTAATGTGATTTTCATCTTCACTTAGAACGAACATAATTAAAATCTTTACTGTATACCAATAATTGAGGCTATCAACGCAAAAGTGGTGTAACCCAATGAAATGAAAGAAGATTTTACTTAATGTGAGATTTAAAATAAGCCAAATTCATTTAATACAATAATGTATAAGTATACTCTTTTTTTTCATACATGTAACAGTATAAAAATATAATTACGTTATATTGTAACATCGGCAACTTTTCAATCATACTGTACAATTTGTCGTAAGACAAAATTACATGTCATGTCTAGTCATTGTCATTGACATGAATAAGGTGTTATATACTTTTCAACTTTTGCGTTGCATTGTACAAACATTTGGAAACGGGAATAAACGCGTTTACATACGAATAGGCATTTTTGACACCTACCTAGTTTCCCACCAGTCAGCCCGTGACCACGGCTCACCACGGCCAGTGCATTTGGCCGAAACGTCGGGAAACTAGGTAGGTGTGAAAAATACCTATTCGTATGTAAACGCGTTTATTCCCGTTTCCAAATGTTAGTATGAATACGGTGAGTTTGTAATTTGATAGCATAATTGGAATGTATCTTGTATTCATACATTTTAATTGATTAATGCGTTAAAGTCAAATTTGGCACAATTTAAATATTATTTTACGATTTTCGCGAAGTCAATAAAATTATTAAAATACAATTTAAAAATTGCAATTACGTTCATGCTAATAATTTATCAACAATACTCTGTACATGGGAAACTCGAACAAAACTATTCAAAAAAGTTCAATAGTTAATAGTATTTATTTATTGACAATTTGCTATATAACCTAAAAAGACAACAAATAATTATGAGACTGGAAATATAATAAAACAAACGAAATTTCTTAAAAATGGAACAAAATCTCAACACTTTCAAAAAACAGTTAATCACGGAGTAACTTTCTTTGACTTGCCTATTTTGACAGATGAGACCGCCATGTGCACAGCAAATGACACGTCATGATACGATTTTACTATGAAAGAAAAGGTGAACGGATTTCGGATGAGGAACGTAAACTGCATGGACAGTGAATTGTATGTGTGAGGTATAGTACGAATTTGACATGCTATCCAACTTACGGCCTTAAACAGGATTACTATAAGAGCTCATAGTAGGCCCCCTGAACTTTGACAAAAATGCGTGTCGATAGATGGCATTGTGTGTTTTAAATAAAATAAAGTGACGATTTCTAATATGGGTAGATGGCGCAAATCCTAAACAAAATAAAAGAACGGCCGACACTATTCATAAAAATCTGTGCAATAAGCGCCATCTAGTTGATTTGTTTCTTACCACTAGAAATGAGATCAGCTTTGACAAATGCAACTTGACAATGAAAATCAAATTAGTTACAAAAATACATTGAGTATATAACCAGAAACTAAAACGATATAACGGCCATCCATCTATGGCAGCTCATCAGATAAATGGGCCTTATATCACTTTTAAATATCAACTCTCGTTTGCGCTGAAATCACAAATTAGAAAACTGAAATAGTACAGCGCCAACAACTGACCTGTGTGTATGTGTTATATAGATGTGTATGTATCTCCATATATTCCAAAAATATTTTGTATTTATAGGAATTCTAGATAATATTATCTCTAACAATGGGGACTGTTCCATTAAGTGGTGTGGAAAAAAACAACAAAATATCTAATTACAAAACAAACGGAATCACATTTCATTGGTAATTAAATATTAAATATGTAATTTTGCAATGTTCAACTATTATAGCAAAGCTCAAGTTAAACCGGTCGTTTTGAAATGAAAAGTCAATTGTTTCGAATTCGGGCTTGGTAATCGGAGCGCAGTTGTCACCATAATGATTTGGCAGAATAGTTTTCAAACAAATTATAAATGATATTTCGTCTCTATGTCTGGTTATATATACTCGTTGCAGTTGGGCCACGGAAGCAGTATGTTGAGATATTGGCATCTAAAGTTTTTTTTTCTTTGAAAAGTGGCAATTACGCAGATTATGCTAACAATAAAACTGAATTCATCCTTTATAGCAAAGCTCAAGTTAAATTGGTCGATTTGAAATGAAACAAATTACGACACCCCTCAACTGATTCGAATTCGGGCTTGGCAATCGGAGCGCAGTTGTCACCGTAATGATTTGGCAGAATAGTTTTCAAAAACTGCCTAAAGCTACAGAGTGACCTCTTCCGACTCTCGGAGTATTATGAGCGAAACAGAATTGGTGTTAACATTGATAAATGCGTCAAAATTACTTTCACTCGCAAGATCAACCCCGTATCCTTCGGCTATAATATAAATAATAACACCGTACAAACATGTAACGAAATACCGGACCTCGGTATAATCCTAGATAGCAAAATGATGTACGACAAACATATTGCTGCTACTGTCAGTAGGGTCTACAGGAACCTAGGGTTTATAAAACGAGTGTGTAACCAGTTTTCTGACATTGAAAGTTTAGAAATGGTTTATAACGCCTTCGTGCGTAGTATTTTGAAATTTGGTAGTGTCATCTGGTCGCCCCGATACGTCTTGTATGATAAGCACATTGAGCGCATACAAAAAATGTACATTGAATTCCTAAGTTATAAGAGTAAAAAAAAATTCACCACATATGAGGAAGCCTGCAAACATTTCAGTATGCATAGTCTTTCTGACAGGAGATAGCTCCTAGATAAGGCCTTCCTACACGATGTTGTGAATACTCGCCTAGACAGCCCTTCCCCATTTCCCTGTTTCGTCTTGTGCTCTATAGTCGCCGTCGTAACCCACTTCATAAAGTATTTTACGTTCCACCAAGTCTTACGAACTACGGCCAGAATGAGATTGTTTCGCGCCTTACAACTACGTACAATAAGTTTTTCAGTAACATTGATATCTTTGCACATCCTAAATACTCATTTAAGCCAAGAATTAGTGGAGCAATTTGGCTACCCTAAGCTTGAGATACTTGATTTTTTTTTTCCTTTTTATACCTCTGTCACGATCATTTAAATTATAAATTGTTCCTATAAAATTTTGCCTACTATTTACATTATTTATGATTACTATTATTATTATTATTACTATTTTCGTATTTATTTTAAACTCTCGCCTCTCCCAAGGCCTAAAAAATTAATTTTGAATTTTTAAATGGGAGAGGCGGTATTTCCCGGCAATGGCACAGTCGGCCGGGGTCAGGGACTCAGGTCCAAGAATCGGCGAACAATACGTGCCGTATCGAGCAGGACCGCCTTCTGCATTTGTGCTGGAAGCGACACGCCACAGAAATCCAGCCGCCTCAAGCTGTATTTATTACTATTATTATTAGTATTACTATTATTATTATTTTTAATAATTCTGCCCTTTTTATTACCACTTAGTAAATTTATTTAAATTTAGGTACTAATTTGTAATATACTTATTTATGTTGAATGTAATTATTACATCACACTTTGTCACGACAAATAGATTTTTAAGTCATGTAAAATAGATTTTTAAGTTTAAATTGTATGCTGTTGAATGACCTTCAATAAATCAAACAAATTTAATGACATTTCGTCTCCATTTCTGGTTATATACTCGATGCAAAAGTAGCTATGTGGTGTGTCGCGACATCTGGTGTACGATAGGTACGAAAGACCCGACTATGCTGTCTTGTATCGAGATAACAGTCCTTTAGAATTATTGGTCCATGCTAGATTTAAGTACAATTTGCTATACCCTGACAGGGTCCATGTGATACTATTATACCTGGCTAAAAAATTTAATTGGAACGACAGGGATTGACGCAATGTACGGTCGATACGGCATCCTACCTTACAGATATCACCACCTCCTAGATTAACGATTTAGCGCGGTAGCTTCAAAGTTGCTGCATCCAAGTTCTGAAATGATTTGCCTCCTCCAATAAGAAACTGAAAGTTGTCTTGCACTTTCAAAAGAAAATGCAATGCTTTGGCTACTTTCGAGGCAAAGACTGGCAAGTAATTGAATGTAGCTTAAATTCTTATATTTTTTATTTTTAGGTACTATTCATACCCTGCCTAAACTTCAAATTGGAGTATTGTGAAATGGAACGTTTTATTTAGCACTGGTGCCATCGTGACAATAGGATTATAACTTTAAGTGATATATGTGTATATTTATAGTTAAGTGATAATTTTTTGGACTTGCTCGAGACGCGTCATACAACTACTGTCATTGGAATGTAGCGAGTTTCTTCAAAAATGTAGGGTCTGAAAAACAGCTTAAGCTGAGACTCTTTCCTTTTTCTCTACACAATATATGTAACTATAGATGATGTCATTTGAGACTAAATTGTTATGCAAATGTAGATAAATAAAGCTCTTTATTATTTATTATTATTTACTTGTAACCAATGTATTTATACCATAGTTGCAATAAACTTTATTCTATTCTATTTTTTCGGGTCCCAACCGTGACCATAGGACCTGTGAAGGGCCCGAAACTTTTTTTTACATTGGCATGTTTGTAAAAACAATATTCTATTTGTTATGCTATTTAGATCAGAAAAAAACAGTTTAATTTCCCAAGTTTATTGTAGATTAGTATCAAATAACACACCGCCTTTATTCAATAGGGCGGCAAACCAAAAAGAAATCGACGACATCATGGCGGTGCAAATTCAGCAGCTTTTCACCCAAGTATATGGACCTTCGACTAGTGGTGTTTCCGCTGAGAAGAGTAAGACGAACCCTGGCAGTAGTTCAAATATTTCAAGGTATAGTCCAAAGCATGTCGCCTAATGCTTTATGCCAGCCTCACTATCACGATCCATTTGTCCTTTATTCGCACCATACAATGCCCCATTTCCGTTGAGGTCGTTTATCGTCTGTCTGTGAAAGAGAGTCACCATCGCGCCGGTTGGAAAAACATCTAATCATAAAACTCGTGAAAATGGCGGTTAACAAGTGAATTTATGTATCATAGACACTACCTCCTTTTATAGTTGTAGAATTCAACACGGATGTTCAGTTTCAAGGGTTGTTCCTTATGATACACTAGATGGCGGTACAAGTCATATTTTTATTTTAAATACTAACAAAAAAGCTTTGTGTTCATGCCATATTCATTCCATGATTCATTCCATGATTCATTCATCATTTAGTTCATGCTATATGCTACCACGGTTGCTTGCGCTCCACAACACTTCTTATATAATGTGATAGACGTAAGGTTCTTTCAATGCAGCATTGCGCCACTGTGTTTGTATAGTGTCAACTATGGTACAGAACCGGGAAATCCCAGTCTCGAAAGTACCGGGAATTCCCGATTCTTTCATTGTAACAAGAAAACAGGGAATTCCAAATTGTTTCCCGATTATTTCGGTACTTTTGGGAATCAGAGTCGGTAGTGTAATTTCGATTTTAATTACGGACCAAAGGCACGTTTGTTTTCAATTTGATATTGCCCTAAAAATTAAAGGTTTAAGTATAATTTTCTGTTTCTTTGATTGCAAAAGCTTTTTTATGTTTTTATTTTAATTTCCAAGAATAGGTAGGCTGAAAAATTAAATTGATTGATTTGGACTACATTATTTTAAATAAAAAGCTCCAATATTTACCGTTTTTACTTTTGAAACTTATCACCTTCTTAACCCGTCGAGTACTATTGCTTACTACTTCACTGATTGTGTCACCATTGAACAACAAATAGCTAGTACCGCAAGTACCGAAAGAACAGGGAAATCCCAGTTCCGTTTAGACAAGTACCGAAATTCCCGGTTCTTCAAAACATGCTTGGTTCCGGAACCCCTAGTGCCAACCACATTACACATTACACCCAATGGTATTAAAATTAACAAAATCCACTCTTGTTATTATTGATACAAAGATCGAACAACACATTATTAATCGAATAACAACAAAATTCCTTCCAACCGACTGGACTCGAACCACCGCCTGTTGCCATATTGAGGCCACCGCACTTACCAACTGAGCTACAGGCTGAGTCAGCAGGACTTACGAATTTGTCTATTCTTGTCGATCTTTGTATTGGGTTTACAGGGTTTTTTTTTGCCGTTAGCGCCATCTGTGAAAGCTGTTTGTTCCATAAAAAAAAACACTGTCCTAAATCCTAAAATCCCCACTGACGTAGTACTTGCTACAATAATTTTGATTATAGTGACTCTCCCTACCGACCCCTAGGGTAGGGAGCTGGAGCACCGGAGAATATGTACCTTATCCTCTACTAGCTCTCCGGGCTAGTGCTGGAGATGCCAGCCGCAGTGTCCTGACATAGCACCCCTTCGGTACAATTGGTCTACTTTCCCGATCGATCCACTTTCACTATTCGTCTACTTTCCCGATCGTATAGCATATAGAGAACTTTATCTCTCGGGTCGGTTGATAGGGAGCACTTGTTACAGTGGGGATTTGTGGAAAAAATCCCCACCAAGATATTATTTTACTCAATTATATATTAAATTTTTAGGTTACAGATTCTTTGTTTGCCGAAACCACCTATATTGATTTTCAGCGCCAATATCACGTCCTCAACACGACGACGCATAGATTAATTAATTGTGTTCTCTTTGATTTAATATGGAGTTTTGGATTTACTATAAAATATTGATTTATTGTTAAATGTGTACTCGAACAAGTTGCTTATGTTTCGTATTTTTTTTTATAATATCAAGTGACGGGACACACAAGTTGTGTGCCTGATGGTAAACTACACGCCTGTCCATAACAGTTGCAGTGCCACTCAGAGCTTTCAATCACAAGGATCTTAGGGGCACTGCCACTGCGCCCGTCACCTTGAGACATAAGTTGACAAGTTTCATGTGCCTGTAAATTCACCAGCACCCTTATCCTTCAATACCGGAACACAGTAATGCTGACATTACTGCTTGGCGGCAGAAATAGGTAAGGTGGCAGTACTTTCCTAGATTAACTCTTTCACAAGGAGCTCTACTGCGGCAATATTAAATTTTGGTATCCTACCAGTGCAGATTTGTGGAATGAACCTGAGAAACTTATAAATAAATTTTGCAAAATCCACTGTTTTTGTTTTCAGTTCCCGAGCAACGAACATCAACTTTAATAGCAAAATAGCAACAACAAGCCATAAGGTCCCTTCTACCGCCAATTTGTATCCAAACCTTAATGAAGCCAACGCACTAAGTCCACTGGGTTCTGCACCAAATAAAGTTCAAGAGGACTTCGTATTTGTTAACATGCAAAGAGGCAGGAATGAAGTTAAGTGAGTTGTCTGAAGTTATTCTATTATTTTCTGTTATTTAGGCTAAGTTCATATGACAATACGCGCGCGTTTCCAAATTGCGTGTATAGGTATTCATGCATTTTATACACTTTCGTTCATATGTACGCGCGATACCGTTCGCGTTCGGAGGAAATACTTCAAAACGCGCGTCACCTTTGCAAACGCGCGTTGCCGCGCGTTTACGATTATAGGCCGTGACAGTACTTGGGGGTCTATTCCCGTCCTCTATCCGACATCTGTTCGAAATAATTACTGTCAAATAACTAATACTGTCTTTTGGTTTGGTCGAGTACCTACCTATTACTTATTTGACAGTATTTATAAAAAAAAGTTCACCGCGCGTAGCCTTTCGGTATTTGACGGTTCTATATGTATGCTGCCATCTGAACCTAGCCTTATACTTTTACAACATTATTAAATCTCACTTATTAGTTATCATGTACAGGGTGAACAGCACATCAAGCTTGACACTTAAGACTTAAATCCAACTCTATGCTTACAATAAGAACGGTCCAAAGTACAAAGTGTCAAGCTTGACGAGCTCTTGACTGTACGTTATCGCGATTGCTGCTGAGCTGAGTCAAAATATCCCCACCCGACAAAAGCCTTCTTATATTACCTACCCACATGGATGTATGAAATTACATGTCTTCTCCTTCTTGCAAATCAGTGCTAAAAATGTGACACTACTATTCACTTTACGTACGTACATTCAACCTACCACATTTTGCGTCGCAACCTTAGTGTAATAAGGCCACATCTGCAAAATGACAACTTTTCAAGAGAGAGGTAATTTTTATTTATTTATTTATAATCGGGTTACAAAAACCCATAAATACATACGTTACAGACAAATACATATGAATATAATAAAGCACTAATTAGTAATTACTATTTACACATATTGTCTGCGATGTGTGACGCAACATGTGTATCCAGTTAGCCAACTTCGGAGACGTTAGTACATGACACTCTTCGGCCAAAACTCCTTCGTGAAGGTCGACAGATGTTGAGATAGTACTCTCACCACAAATAAAAATCACATTGTGGCGGAACCCCAACTGTTCGACACTCAGACAGCCTCAGAGAAGCATGCATCCGCTTTCCCGTATATACATCAGAATATCCGCAGACTTTGTGAAGTAATTAAGCCATGACACGTATAATAAATAACGTTATCGGTATCGTATACACAAATAAATAAAGTAATATATATACACACACGTATAAAAGCAAAAATTTCAAAGGGGAAAAAGCTAACAAATACCGAAGCAATGTATCGACAATACTGAAGTATTTTTAAGACTAAAGACGTAAACATCTTTACTTTCATTCAGAGCTACTAAGTCTGCCAGTTCTTTAAGAAAATAAATACAAGCCAGGCAAATGTTATTCACGTATCTATTTGTTTAACTCTATTGTTAACATATTAGCATTCGATTATCTGGCTGTAAAAGCCAATATTCTAGAATCTTATTAATACACACGAATAATATGCCAAATAAAAAATTTAGTTTTGTGTTTATATCATATATAACAGTGAACGAATTCCCATAAATTTATTGGGGTATGGTTTTATTACACCAGCACGATATTATCAGACCAGTTTGATATTACAGCGTTTTCCCATTTTTTGGTAATTTTGCAACAACTGCCTTTTTTGTAATTGTTTAAGAAGATTATGCTATACTATACTATACGTGGAGCCAAATAAATTACGTACTTACAACTATAAATATTGTTTTTATAAACCAAAAGCCTAGTACTCTTTGCTGATATTATTACCTAAATTATTGTAAGTAGTAAAGAGAAATGATTGGTGCAATTTCTTCTATAGATGCCCACAGAATCCTCAGTACAAATTTTACTCGTAGTAGCAGTAAAATTCCTACGAATGAGTTCGTTCAGGGAAGTACTTCTACCTTACCTATTCCTGCCACCAAGCAGCAATGTCCGCATTACTGTGTTTCGATATTAAAGGGTAAGGGTGCTGGTAAAATTACAGGCACATGGGACTTGTTAACTTATGTCTCAAGTTGACAGGCGCAGTAGCAGAAAGCTCTGAGCGGCACTGCAACTGTTATGGATAGACATGTAGCTTACCACCAGGCACACGACTTGTATGTTCCGTCACTTGATCTTATAAAAAAGAACTGTATGTACAAGTGGCAAGCACAAGTTTAAAATGAGATTAAAATATTATTTTGACTTACTGAGCTTGTTAGTAAGTAAGTGATAACATTGAGATTATTGTTTAGTCGGTAGTTAGAAAAGCATAAACAAAACACAGGGATACCTATGTACGAGTATGTCATAAAAATGTGATAAGGCACACAAGTTGTCACAAAATATGGTTAGCATAGTTGTTAAATCATAATAATTCTGTGAATGTAACAAGAGATAACGTAAAATCGCTGACTGAGTTACGTTCTTAGAATTCACATAGCTGTTTTCGTTGTTTGTTGCGGGACATTGTATGGCATTTCAGAGCTATCAGCTGTTGCTATACATAGATAGATAGATAGATAAAACGTTTATTTGGATCTACAGACACACATACATAACAGAAAAATATGTAGTATAATAAAAAGAAGAAAAAAAAAGCAGTGTCGCAGACGCAAGACTGCCTGACGCCAAGTTATGTATGTGTGTTGTAGCAGCGGAAAAAAGGCCCATGTTGGGCGCTTAAATAGCTTTTGTTTAGACTACAATTATGATTAATTTCTGAGTACCCTGAACACTTCTGAGAAATTTAAATAGTATTTTACGCTTCGAAAATTGCGTATGAATTTGCGAAAATGGCGTAAAAAAACTATAAGTCGCGAGGAAGAAAATTGACGAATCCTATCGCAACTCATAATGTAACGCTCTAAAAAAGGTTTTAATACAACCTATATTGAATAAAGTTATGTGTTTTGATATTTTACTCCAAAAAGAATTTTAATAATGAATAAGTTTTTTTCCAAAAAACAATCACTAGGTGCAACGACCTTCACTTTGATGACCTTTTTTCCAATAAGATTGTGATTCCAATAAGATATCACATATCGAGTTCTTAGTCTAAGCCTGCAGTCTGCGAGCATGTCATGGACAAACCTATACATTCAATAAAGTTTGACAAACCCCAGGTCCTTGCAAAAGAAGTCCGTTATCTACCCAGGATGCTGCGAGAGGCCTTTGAAATTAAAAAAGCATCCTAATTTCAACAGGGAAGATGGTTTCTCCGTACCACCAGTTTGGGATCCAGTATTTCCTCTAATGAAAAATCCCAAACAGACATAAGACTGCAGTACTAATTAATATGTTTTAGTTTATTCTAATTTCTATTATTAATTAATAATAAATTGAACTTAATAAAAATTCATTCAATAAAATAATTTGTAAAACTTAATGTAGCGTAAATTGGAATGTTTTCTTTGTAAAATTAAAAATAAGGTATTTAATTAATAACTATTGTAACTATAGTGAAAAAATAGGGTGGTTTGCATCAATATTAGACATAACTGATTGAAGACTGTACCACCTCAGTCAACCGTGACCATGTGACTTGTAAAGAGCCCGAAACGTCGGTTTGTTTGAAAAAACAAATATACGCGATTTAAATCCGGAATAATCTCAGTACAGAGTACTAAAAAAACCGACCTCAAAAGTAAGTGGAATTACGTCTATTTGCTAAGTTTTATTGAAATATCCCCTAGTTCGCCACTATACAGGACTTCACACAGGAGATAATAAAAATCGGTTCTCACTACTCAAAAGTATTTTGAGAGAAAAACGCCTTGAATTGGAGAAAAAGCAAAATCAACCATTAAAGTAGTTGCTCCTAAATGAAAGTTAGGCGCTATTTATAAAAATGAATGTTCATGCGTGAACAGGCACCCATCGAGGTGGATGCTTTTGTTCAAAATGAAATGGGACCCCCTTTCCAACAATTTTTCTGCCAACAATCATGAAAATCGGCTCACAAATACCGGAGTTATCGCGTAACATACATACAAAAAAAAAGAACATACAGAAGAATTGAGAACCTCCTCCTTTTTTGAAGTCGGTTAAAAATAGTTTCATTACCTAAGATATCAAATGTTAAAGTTTTAACACCATCTGAAAAATCATATCCTGACGATCATTTGATATGATAGGTAATAATTACAGAAATTAATTAATAATGTCATCTATCACAATTAAAGTCTTCATCAAACACTAAACGTCAACAATCCCGCCAAACTTTGTTTTCACATTTTTTTCTGTTATAGGGACGCATCATGAATATTTATTTCTTTAAATTGGATATCGAGTATTTAACAGTGAAATACTAGTAAAAATTTGGTGTTAATACATGTGGTAATTTTTAAAATTATTTGTAAAACAGTTCACCATACGGGTGAAAGGGTTGTAACCCTAACTAGCCGAACAGGTTCGGGAAAACTCCGGGAAACTTCCGGTCCACAAAATTTATTAAAGAAGCAAAGTTTAAAGAAAGGGCTGTAACAATAAAAAGGTAAATGTAAAAAAACAGGTACAACAGTAGGAAACACTCCCTACACGTTATTATTAAGGCACTTACCCCTAAATGGGCCGAGTAACTGAATTACAGATATAGTAGACACGAAGGCTGTAGACTTATAAATTATTACACATGATTTAGTTTATTTAATGATTATAAACGTAGTAAAGAACCACAATTAGCGATTATATATATATATATATATATATGGGTCAATCAACTATTCTTTGTACATCTGACAGAGAATTTCGAATAGAAAATTGTAAATAATTATTTTTTAAATAAGCAGTATTATTTATCTTATTTATTATAACATATACTAGGGTATTTAATTCTGTCATTGGCAGTGCAGATTTCTGTTTTATAACCATCGGTTTCAAATTTTTTGCTACTGATAGCATAGATTTTGTCCCCTAAGTTACCTTTAGGTAAATAATTGTTAGAATTAACGAAATGCATATTCTTTATTTGAAAATGGTTATTTAGAGTGTATTACAATAATACTAGTTATGTATAAATAAAATTGAAGGCAATAAACTAATACACGTCAAATAAAGAGCAACTTTGTGTCTCCTATGTTACGAACAAACATTTTATAAGCTTATTTTTAAAATAATTGAAGGATTCGCCATAATGCAAAACTACTTTTGTGTTAATCTGTAAGTTATTATTAAGTTAATATTAACGAGCATAAATTTACAAAAAAAGAACAAAAGATTATGCCTAATATTTTTAATTTACTAATTAAATTTGTAGGGACATGAGTAACTTAAGAGACATTTCAGTAACTTAGAAGACCACAAGCTAACTGCCGAGGTACTGGTTACTAGGATCCAGGTTCATTAAAAGAAGGTTAGAAACAGAAATTATTAGAGTATTATATATATATATATATATATATATATATATATATATTAGAATTTGAAATAGCTCCAACTGTTATGGCGGTCGAGCTGGGAATGACCGTGGTACGAAAACAAAATGAGAAAAATGATAGGATACAAGCGGCGGAGAGACGCGATACAAAGAGGTGAGATGACGGTGTAAGGAGATCACACCGTCACACGGGTACTGTAATTTACTTTACTGCACATTTTATATTTCCTTTTCTGGTTATCATGGTAACGGTGATTTGTTGATATCATAGTAACGGTGATTTGTTGATTTCACGTATTGTGTCAAGTGAAAAGTCGACTTTTATTTGCGGAAAATAATTAGTAATTAGTGATAGCCGAAACGAACCCAGAACAGTATCAGGGACCACCTCGGGTGTATACCCTTTCAAACAAAAGAAGAATTTTCAAAATCGGTCCGCAATTGATGGAGAAATTGGTGAATACACGGACATGCCTGTAAAATTTGAGGATTTCCTTCGATTTTTTTATGCGATTCCCTCATCAGATTCTCACTTAGTGGCAATGGGACCACCACGACAGAGCACCTTTTGAAACAAAAAAAGAATTTTCATAATTGGTCCACAATTGACGGCGTTATCTGAAAACATACATACAGCCGTACGTATAACCTTCTCCTTTTTTTCAAGTCGGTTAAACACAAAGTATTGTGTGGTGGTAGCTCGAAATAAAAGCAAATTCACGGTAAAACAAATTATTTTCTATTTTGAAAGGTAAAATCGGGCACACGTCTTATGCTCTATCGCGCCGTTACGTTTCATGTTGTACTCCTCGTGTTCTTCGGCCGACTCTTGCGTTTTTCTTTACCGTCTTTAGGCATGCTGAAGTCGTCATAGTCGTAATATACTCGTAACTTCTTTTATTGCAGCACGCTTCGTTGCCGGTGCCTCGTGCGCAGTATCGAACACGTACCTTCAATTTTCTACACCCTTCTTCCGTCGTAAAACCCGTGAATCTTGCACTTAAACACACACACATTATTGTGCCCAAATTATAGTATCAATGTTTCTAACAAAGTCGCAACAGCTTACAGTAATTGCTGTCACCTCGAATGCCAGTGACGCATTGATTTTTAAAAATATATACTTTGTTTATTGGCAGAATTTCACCTAGCGCATCGCCGCACTCTACGCCACTACCGAGTGCACCACCACCACCTTATGAAAGGTATCTAAACCACCTAATTTTCGTATCCTGCACATCAAATGTACTTTTAATTTCTGGTGCGAGAGGTGCGTTTGCTTAAAAATATATTTAATTTATAATTCAATTGTTTGATCTTTTTAACAGATTTCCAGCCCACGCATCACATATATTCACCCCGATTACACCACCAGCTTATCAAAGGTATTTATTTAGATGAACAATTTTCCGCGTGAGGACTTGCAAATAGAGTTTTTATTTAGAATGTGATCAGTGTTGATTTCAAAATTACACATTTGTTATTGTTTGTTTTTTTATGGCAGATTTCCAGGCAGCGCACAATCTACACCACCATCGAGCGCACCGTCATCTGTACAACAATTCAAGAATACATCAAGATATAATGCTTCAAGGTAACGTGGACACAGTGCCGGCTTTATCTATGGACTGTATGGTGCACGGTGTGCTGCGCACACGAGGTCTTCGGGAACCAGTGTTGGGCAAAATTTAATTGTTCAGGCAATAAAAGATTGACAATTAATTAATTGTCAATTGCTGTTCTCGCAACTAACAATTAATTAATTGTTAATTGATGTTCTCGCAACTAACAATTAATCAATTGTTAATCGCGTATATCTACAATTAACAATGTTTTTGATTAACAATTTAAACTGACAATTATGATAAATTTATAGGGCGAGTGAGTGGGGAGTGAGTAGGGATTGAGTGGGGAGTAAGTGGGTAGTGAGTGGGGAGTGACCACCTTGGATTTAGAAATAAATGCTATATTCGTAATGAGCACTCCCAAATACCTCGAAAGCGATACCCAACTTGCCATTATTTGAAAAGTCGTGCCCGACATCCTGGATTTAGGAAGGAGTGCCATATTCGTTACGAGAGCACACCAAATACTATATTGACCACGCTATATTCGACCACGGAGGCACTCACTCACTTACTCCCCACGCACTGCCCACTCGCTCCCCACACGCTCCCCAATCACTCCCCAATCACTCCCCATTATTTGAAAAATCGTACCCGCCATTTTGGATTTAGAAATGAGTGCCATATTCGTAATGACACTTTTATTCGGTAGTGTCGGTTTTAATTGTTAGTTTCAATTGTTTCTTAGGACAATTAAAAAAATTAATTGCAATTAAAATCAATTCAATTAGAATCAATCAACAATTGCAATTAAGTTTTTAATCAATTAAATCTCTGATTGAAATTTAATTGATTAACACCCAACGCTGTCGGGGACACCCGCGCCGAACGCCGCACGCGACGTCACCAAAAAGCCTGCGTCCCTCGCGTCATCAATAAATTATATATTCACTGCAAATTGCCTAATGGTAAAAAAATCTAGTAATGTAGTAGAACCGATGATGGACAGTGCACCAATCATTAACATTTTACTATACCGCCAAAAATAAGAAAACGCTAATTATATCTTTTCACTTAAAGTTTTTTTATAATTTTTTATCAAAATGGAAGACATGGCTATCTTTATTCGCCATTATCGCGGTGCGAAATAAGACAGTCATAACAAATTTAAAATAAAACTGATTTATAAGGACCGCGCCTTACGTACGTTTTTATAATCATATTTAAATGTTGAATTTAAGAAAGTGGTGACTTCTGTGGTTATTTTGTGTTTTGGTATTGTTTTAATCATCTAAATAAAACACAACCGTAAAAGAATAACATAACGTCTATTGGAAAATTTGAAGTGTTTATTACTGGATCTCATTTAGCTATTTACACAATCCTGGACATTTTTTGATCATAATCGGATTTTATCATAAAAGAGCTTTACTTGCGTTTACCGTCTTTATAAAGCCTGACTTTTAATTTAGTTTATAGCTTGTTACATTATTTTAAGTCTACACAGTAATGGAAACAGTGTCCGTCTCTGGTCATCCATTACTAGATTTGATTTTTTTAGACTTGGCATTGAACTGAATGACCACCCATTGTTACCAGTCGCAAATGGGATATGAAACGTCACACCATTAGTTTAAAAAAAAATTTAAGGACCATGTAAGACCTCGGTTTTTAACATGAAATTTGTTAATTTGCCTAATTAGTTGATCGTTCATGTTTAGGGGTCCATGATTGGAAACCGTCCATGACATGGTGTCCATAATTGGAAATTGGGCTGTCCATATAAGGATACTCAAACAGGGTCTACTTTTTCTCGAATAACAATGTTTTCTTTATTAATTGATATGATTATCATTTTCAATCGTTATTTGAAGACGTTTTAATCAATTAAACCTTTTCTCGAGTTCCACAGGATAACTCATCCAAAATTAAAAGACTAAAACAAAAATTATATCCTTAAATCGTCCATGATTGTTTTCACTACCTTAATCTAAAATGATAGTAATAAATCTTTACTATTTCTCTACAAGATATTAAATTTCGTACAATAACCACTCTGAATTGTGAGATTATAATTTGTAACAATTGTTTTAAACTTTAAAAATATATTTGCCTGTACCCAGAACACGTACTATCGTTCTCAGTCTGACATCCGTCCGCAACAATTACTATCAATTAAGCAACGAAAAGAAAATGTCAAGCATGAAGTTTCATTCGCATTGAGCGTCTTTTAATTTGGTCGTGTAGCACAAGACAACGTCAAAATGTGCACGACAACACTAACGACTGCATTTTTATGACGTGTATCCATACTCTTCGAGTACTCATGGACTTCAATATCAATTGTATACATTTTACTTTCTCTATAGGTTGCCGTTAACTACACAAATATAAAAATAATGCAAAAAAAACTGCGACTCGCAAGAGTTTCGCAGACGCAGACGCAACCTTGCAGTGTCGGTTTTGGGCAACATTAGCACAATTTGCACGACAACACTAACGACAGCCATCTTGCATTTTTATGATGTGTGTACAGGACACATGTAACGGCACGTTACATACGTATATCCATTATTCTCAAGTATAGTTGAGCAATACTATTCCAGGGTCGCGGGTAACTGACATATTTTAAAATCACAGACACTTCACACCTTTTTTTCATTGAAGTGGGCAGAAATCACAGCCTTCCATTTTGCTACAAAATTGTTCGTTTTATGGCAGGTGTGAACCCAGCGCACAACCTAAGCCAACGCCGAGTGCTAAATCAGCTTTTCCGCAGCACAATAAAACAACAAAACACACAGCTAGAAGGTAACGTAGTAATGTAAGAAGGAATTATAATTATCAATCATCGATTGGTAGGTCAATGTTATCAATACAAAAATCGAACACTAAGAAAAATTTCTTCGATCCGACTGGATCAAACCAGCGCCTTCAGCACTTCAGACACGGTATGCTCTAAATCCTTATCTGAAATACTAATTAGTAATAACGTTTTATTTAAAAAAACCGACCTCAAAAGTTCGTGGAATTACATCTATTTGCCAAGTTTGATTAAATCGTTTACCAGAAAGTGCGCGAAACCAGATTCATCCCATTACTTTACCACCCTCAGAGGTGGAATATTTTCTTCAAATTTAAATGGGACCAATACTGAGGTATTCTCCTTCCAATAAAAAAAGAATCTTCAAAATCGGTTCATACACGCAAACATACATACAAAAAAAACAGTCAAATTGAGAGACTCCTTTTGAAGTAGCTTAATAAAATTGAACAATGTAAATTCTAATCCTTTCAAAAATTTATCAAAAGTTCGGCGACTGCTTACTTCGAACTGATGCGATGATTAGTGACAAATGAAACATTCAAACGATTATGTTACCGGAAAGTATGCGAAACCGGATTCATCCCCTTGTTTACCACCTTTGAGGTGGAACATTTTCTTGAAATTTAAATGGGACCAATATTGAGGTACCCTCCAACAAAAAATCGTTCACATCAGGGGGTCTACTCTCGATCTCCGTCCGACATCCGCCCGAAACAATTACTGTCAAAAAAGTAATATTCTACAAAATTAAAAGACATGTATCAAGAATGAAGCTTCATTCGCATCACGCGTCTTTTCATTTGGTCAAGTATTGCTTATTTGGCAGTAATTGTTTCGGACGGATGTCGGACGGAGATCGAGAGTAGACCCCCAGAATCGGTTCACATATGAGTTATCGCGTAACATACATACAAAAAAAAATACAGTCGAATTGAGAACATCCTCCTTTTTTTGAAGTTGATTAATTACGCTACCCACCTATACTATTTATTATCCATACCAGATGGAGAACCTAAATGGTGTATACCTCCGATAATTATTAGAACTAGAGAGAACGAAGTGCCAACGCATAATATACATATGTGTTGTACACTCAACCCCAATGTATTAAAATAACACTACGCGATTTAATGTTGCAGGGCTCGTCCTTCGTCGAACGAAGATGAGGAACTAATCTGTATCACGTGTGAAAATAAATTAAGCTTGGAAATATTCATGTGCCCAAATGAACACAGCGCCTGTAAGAATTGCAGAGAGAGACGTGCTAAATGCGGACGTTGCCAGAACCTTATTACTGATATGAGGAACGTAACTCTTGAAGCTTTTATCGCTGTTGTAAGTAAGGTAATTTAGCACACTTATTAACCCGGAATCGGCTTGATGCGATCGTGTTTAACACTGATGACAAAACAATGGAAGTGTTAAATCTGACTAATGACACCAGGCGCTCACTACGAGGAAAAAGGAACCTAAGCACGCGCTTAGAGAGGTGAAAATAACGTAGCCGGCCGTGTGCAGTCGTGCGGAGCCGAATGCTCATAAATGAAAGACTTGTATGCCGACGTCGGCGCGCTTAGCGGTAGGCACTTATCCTAGAGCGAGTGACAGAGCTCTGCTGCTGTCGCCAAATCTCACACTATCATATGTTCAACACTATGATAGATAAGAAGATATTAATTTGTAGTTTCTAATTTAAAAAGTTGTGACAAATTCTGGTTTGTTAATATAATGACAATATAACGACAAATAATGACAAACGCTCACATGAGTATCTTACCGTTTTGGCAAGCCATAGCCTACTACCCGGTCACACTGCTGTAACCCATGGCAAAACCTGTTTGGATCACATGATGATCAAATCTAAAGTAAACCCTACATGTATCGTGTTTGATTCGTCCGTCACTGATCATCAATGTGTTGCACTTACTATTAAACCTAACACTAGGCTGGAATACTTATCTAAAAGCGTTTTTAGAATAAACTATGAACTCATGGATGTGGCAATGGATAACCTCAATTTTTTATCAATCTTAAAAGTAATTGACGTAAATATTGCCACTAATTTATTAATTAATTTATTAAAAAAAACAATTAATGAAAATTCCAGACTAGTCTACACCCCTAACAGGAAAAGAATCTATAAGCCTTGGATCACAAAAGCTCTGCTTAAATGTATGAGAAATCGCGACAATCTCTTCAAAAAACTTAAAAAAGATCCTAATAACGAGATTTTAAAGATAACCTACAAGAGATATAGAAATTTTTGTACCTCTCTTATCAGGAAAGCTAAAATGTCTTATGAAAAACGCGAAATTGAGAACAATAAAAATAATAAAAAGTCACTGTGGAATGTTATTAAAACAATCTGTGGTCATAATAGAACGGTGGATCACTCTTCAGGCTTGATTGGGAGTCAGAACCCGCAAAAAAGCGTTAATGACGTTAATAAATTCTTTGTGGGTGTCGGTAAAAAACTTGCTGATCAATCCCTTCTCAACGCACTCCCTTCTGGCCCAGTTTCTAAGGGTACTATACCGACCCCCACCAACTCGCTTGTTTTACTGCCTACTGATGTGGACGAGGTTGCAGGACTCATTGTGAAGCTTAAGGATGATAGCGCTGTGGGTCTGGATCAGGTGTCGGGCAGGTTCTTAAAGAGATATGTGCATATTCTCGCTTTACCAATCTCACACATCTGCAACTTAGCTCTCTCAACCGGCGTCTTCCCTCGGGCATTTAAGACTGCGCGCATAAAGCCTATTCACAAGGGTGGGGACCGAGGCTGTGCCAATAATTTTAGACCCATCTCCATTCTTCCGGCAATGTCTAAGATTCTTGAACGGATTATGAACAAAAGGCTTATTGGTTACTTAGAATCTCACAACCTAATATCACCTTCTCAATTTGGTTTCCGTACTAAACTATCCACCAATGATGCTGTTCACGAACTGGTCGATTCTATAGTGACCAACCTTGATAATAAAAGGAAATGTCTAACTATATTTCTCGACTTAGCAAAAGCATTTGACACAGTCTCTGTACCCCATCTCATTTGCAGGCTCGAGGAGCTGGGGGTGAGAGGAATTCCTCTTGATCTTTTCAGGGATTACTTGACTGACCGGAAACAGTGTGTTGGGATCGAAAACTGGCTGAGCGATGAACTCCCCGTCACCTACGGCGTCCCCCAAGGTAGTATTCTTGGGTCTACCTTGTTCTTGGTCTTCATTAACACCCTATGCAACCTTAAGCTTCCCTATATCAGGATTCTGACCTTCGCTGATGATACGGCGCTCTTCGTCAGTGGAAAGAGCTGGAGTGAGGTCTTTGTCTCTGCGCAGAATGGTCTCAACGTCGTGTGTACCTGGCTGCGACAGAATCTGTTAACCCTGAATGTTTTAAAAACCAAATATATTACTTAGATCCCATCTTCTGCCGTCGTTGGATTTAACGCTCAGGGTGCATACTTCTTGTAACCTAAGCCACCTAGACTGCCCTTGTCCTTATATTATAAGAACTGAATCAATCCAATACTTGGGCATTATCATTGATCAGTCTCTTACCTTCAAACCCCATATAGACTCCGTTGTACCTCGACTCCGCAAGCTCATCTACATTTTCAGGACGTTACGGTATGTGGCTGACCGGAAAACTCTGACCTCTGTCTACTTTGCCCTTTGCCAATCAATATTAGGGTATTGTATAACGTCATGGGGTGGAGCCTCTAAAACTCATCTTATTGAACTGGAACGGGCTCAACGAGCTATTTTGAGGGTGGGAGCTGGCCTTCCCAACCGTTACCCAACCAGCGAACTCTACAAGCTATGGGATGTGCTTACCGTTAGACAGCTATTTGTTTGTAACACCGTCCTCAAAAAGCACTCCCTACTTGCATTTGATCCTAATATCACCAAGGATAAACGTAGAAAGGGTACGGTCTGCCAATCCCATTCTGTTAACACCAGTTTCTCCCAACATTTCTTCTGCTTTCTCGCTCCCTACTTATACAATAAATTAAACACAAAGCTTTCTTTTTACGCTCTCCCAAAATCTCTCTGCAAAAAAATTTTATCCCATTGGATTAAAACCCAAAATTATGAGGAGACTGAGCAACTTCTTCATATCCTCAAATAAAATATCTCTCATTTAATGGTTCCCAAGTCCTAGTTCTCTCGCCTTAACACATTCACACACTACACATTCCACACACCCCGTACGTACAATTCTTACACACCTAATCAGTAACACACCCCTTATAAACACTCACTCACTCATTCACACACTTTTCATATTGTGAGTTTACTTTATGTTAAACCTTTAGAGTACTTTTAAATAATTAGTTTAGTTCACTAGTACCTTTATTATTCCAAATCAGGAATATTCCACTAACCTTTATAGATTTTATCCTTCGCCACAACCTCTGTGCCACAACCAAATTGCTCAACTGCAGAGTGGAAGCCTGGTGACCCGTAATTCAGGTTTTTCTATACCTATCTCGGGCACCAGTCTCTCACAAAACAGTCTGTCCAATTTTTAGTATTGTATGTTACCTTAAGTTCCTTACTCTTAAGCCTGTTTTGTGATTGAGAAATAAATAAACTTCATTCATTCATTCATTCAATTTAAACTGTACCCAGTTGGCATGTCGTTGAAAGTTCAATACCTATTATTGCAAGTTAGGTACGACGTTTCGATTTTATATTCAAATTTCATCTGCCATCTAGCGGCATTAGCTGAAGGACTATGAGACGACGAACGATTAACGTTTAATAACGTTCTCCCAAAAAAAGTATACCATATTGCTGTAGTATAAAGTTTACTTTCGTTTCTTATAACAAAATATCACAAAACAACACAACAACAACAACACAACAAACAACATAAACAGGAAATGAAAAATTTATTAAAATTAAATAAAACGATGATATTGTTACGAAACACCACCATGGAGCTGCAACTATTGTTTTTGCATTCCCAAAGTATCAAAATAAGGTATTTTTCCACCATATTCGAAGTTTTGCACGTGGCTCGGCACTCCAAGGTACTTTGCCCTGTAGTTGACCACGTCGGACCATTGTACTAGGATGTGCGCAGCCTTTTTCTCCCTTCCCAGAGGGCTCAACCTTTTTCTCCCTTCCCAGAGGGCTCAACCTTTTTCAGAGGGCTGTGTCTGTGATACCTAAATTGAAAAGGTCTCTTACCTTTTGAGTTTAATGAATTTTCGAGATTGACTGGCACTGGGTTGTCGCATGTGTTATTATGAGAAGATTTTGTACCTTTGTGTATTTTTGTTGTTGTTCTTGACCATTGGCAGGGGAGGGACACTATGGGTTCTGGTCCTATAGCGTCCGTCTCTGACCCATTTCTGGCTAGTGGTAGTATCTATTATTGTATTTTTTTTATACTTTAGATCCTTACAGTTTTACCCCCAAAAATACTGCAGCGTTTCCGTGACTTTAAAAAAATCATACGAGGTACTCGCGTACCATGTGATTGGTAAAAAAAGACAATGACTATCTTTAGTAATAGTTTAGTGGTATCCTTGTGGTTGAGTTCGTCCAGGGGTGTAGGTACTGCCACCATACCTTTTTCTTCCGCTGAGCGCAGCTCATGCCTACTCGTATAGCTCTTCAGTCCTTTAATTCCCGGTCTCTGCAAAAATGTTCATGTAGTGTGTTTCGCCATGATAATAATTACTTTGTATATTTAACTATCGCTTATTAAATTTCAGAAACAAGTGAGTTGTCCTAATAAGAAAGATGGATGCAAGTTTACCTTCAACTCCGCTGACATTGATGCTCATATGAAGGAGTGCATATTTAATGAATTGAAATGCCCGCTTTCAGACAAATGTTACTGGAAAGGTATTATAATTTTATTGTAGTTTTTATGTAAAATTTCATAGCCGATAAGCATGAAAGCTAATATACATTATTTGATTTTGAAATCAAATAATGTATATAATCGCGAAAATTTAAATCAGTGTAACTAATTCTGTCAATTTTAAAATTAACAATCAATAAATGCCTGCAACGCAACCTGTAGGTATACGCTGTTGCCCACTTTCCAACTTTCTCGCTTGCGTTGGTGGTTTTTCTAAGGCTGATATTTTATAAAACGAACTTTTGGATGACTAAGCAAAAATGGAGGCTAAGTGTAAGCAAGAAATGATAAAATAAATTCTAAAGTTTAATATAAATCTTGCTTAAACAAAACGTTTTTAAAATACGAAACTAGGTTAGTTCACCGGGAACGAAAGTTGTTGTTTATAATGTTAGTAATGATGGCATTTCACATGGCTTTTTGTATTCTCTATTGGGTATTTGTTGTACTTGGAAAAATATTTGACGTACAGAGAAAAGTCTTCGAGCATTGCGTGTTGCCAGCGATGACCTACGGCTCTGAGATGTGGTCACTTACTATGGGCCTCATAAAAAAGCTCAAAGTAACTCAACAAGCTATGGAGCGGGCAATGCTCGGCTTTTCTCTACGTGATCAAATCAGAAATGAGGAGATCCGTAGAAGAACGAAAGTCACCGCTATAATTCAAAGGATTAGCAAATTGAAGTGGCAGTGGGCAGGGCACATAGCTCGTAAAACTGACGGCTGTTGCCGCAGGAAGGCGTTCAGTGGGGCCCCTACTACATGGACGGATGACCTGATAAGGGCGGCGGGTATCCGATGGATGTACGTTGTGTCCGACCGGCTAGTCTGGCATTCTTTGGGGGAGGCCTATGTTCAGCAATGGACGTCTTCCTGCTAATATGATGATGATGATGAGACAAATATGACCATCTACGCATGGAGCCAAATAAGGAGTTATAGTAATGAATATGATCATAGTGCGGACAATTTAGTTGCGTTTGCCTGTTTGACTTCTTTGATGTGCGTCGAGAAACCGACCAACGCGCAGTAACGCGTTTTTGGTGTTTGCTGTATTTGTCGAATAGGCAAGCAGAGCACATGCTGCCTACACATGGTGATTGTTTGTCAAATATATCAATTACGCTAATGCAAATAGCCATGTGAAATTCCACCTTTAATAGTCCTATGAGGTTGTCGATATTTTACAAATAAGCCTGTATAATTCTAACATTGGTTTTATGAAATGTTTCAGGAAAAATTCGCCAGATTGTGGAGCACTTCGACAATCAACACCCCGAAAACCGCCAAGGTCACGTCGACACTGAGTTAAATCTTCTAGACATTGAAAAAGAAGAAATCGTATTGCACCTGATCAACTTGGGTCCATTTCACTTTCTATTGTATCTCAAAACTGACCCTTTGCAACGTATTATTTACGTTGCTGCTCAATTACTCTGTTCAAGTAATACCAGCGCTTCGAAATGGATATATGAAATTCAAGTTTACAACAAGCGAGAGCCTCGAAGGAAACTTACTTATTCAGATATTTGTCACTCGTATTCGACTCCAATAGATCAGATATTCAGAGATTCAAAATGTATTACGATTTCAATGTCTTATGCCATGACGTATTTCAGCGAAGGAACTTGGAATTACAAATTTTTTCTGAAGAAGGATCCAGAGAAAGAAAATAGGGGAGAAAGAGGACGTGATAGGAGCCGTGGCAGGAACCGTGGCAGAAACCGTGGCAGGGGCCGTGGGGATAGTAATTAATTTTTTTTTACCAAAAGTACACCATTTTACAAAAAAAATGCACGTAACCTTATTTAGTCAGCATGCTTAGAAGATATATAAGGCGCTTGCAAGCAAATGCTAAATTAAACTTAGGATACCTAGTAGATATTAATGAAAAATGTATTCAAGACTTTACGTCTTTAATGGTATGGCATTTTAAGGACTGGCACCCATTGACGAAACGTTACAGCAAATGTGATGAATAATAATATGCCTTAATTGTATGACGTTATAGTTGAAATTTTAATGATAATGGTCGTAGCTGTATAATGGACGCAGACAAGACATGTAGTAGACGGCATGCTTCGGCATGCCTAACGACGCCACGTCATACCTAAGGATACCGCGGTATAATTGCCGTCAGAGTGCGCTAACATGTAGGGATGCCGAAGTCCTTGCAGTGTTTCCCGTCAATGGGCGCCGGGCCTCAACTGGCGGCTTATTGTACAGTATACCTATTTTCTTAGTATCTCTTGACAATCTTCGGATTTCCGAATGCACACGAATTCAAATTTCCATGTATTGATTCTTCTGTAATAATTTTAATTCAGAACATTACTGCTGTTGTGTTTTGATTTGTGAACTATATAGAACTATACTGTATCCCTTATTGTAACATTTTCTACTTTTGTATGACAAAAAATTCATCTTAAAGTGTTTTCCAGTTGTTAATCTTTAATTCTCGTATATTATTTATCTGCTCTTCAAAAACATGTATCTAAAATAAAGTAATAAGTAGTAACTACGCCAACGACTTCCAAATCGATTATGAAATGAAAATGCAAATGAAAGAAATCCAATGCCGAAGCACGAAGATTGCTAAGTGATAAAAAAGTTATACTGTATGAAAATGATTATTTTACCATTTTGATTATTACAAAAAAAAAAGATAAATGCATACATTTTTATTACTCTAGTATTTTAATATAAGCTGATGACGTTAAATTAGTTTCGGTGTAATATTGGTACACAAGTTTGATTAATATGAGTGTACTGTGGTGCATATGTTTTGTAATTAAATGTAGCGTACCTTACTTAACGATTCCTCCAATTAACACTACGCCAACTTTAGTTTAGGTTATTTTTGTAAACAGAAATATTATTTACTAATATTATGCTCCCCGAATTTTGTGAAAAAAAAAAGAAACAAAATTAATTTTGCGAAAAGAAAGTAAACAAAAACAGGTCCAAAAATTAAGTTGGCATAGAGGTATCGATAAATATTACTCAAGTTTTAAAACCGAGACGGCCAGTATTTAATACGCCACTGATTAAACAATTAACGTACCTAATTATAAAATAAATTACAATAAATAGTTTTTAAATGATGTTGGACAGCAGACTTGTCGACCTAACAAATGACAGGGACATTATTATTTTGATTGAGATGCCATTACATTGGCAAATTTTGTTAATTAAATAAAGACGAAGCGATCGCTGCGATCGCTTGTCTATTCACCAATGAAGGGCACTCCAATTCCTGTCAAATATATAAGGTCGTCATAGTCAAACATTTAGGACGTCCTATATGACTATATTCTTTTCCATTTGTCCTAGTGCACGCGGGACGGTATAAATGACCTATTCCTCAATGAAGGGCTCTCTATATTGCCTTGTGAATAAGTTATCAAAGTTCAAACATATAGAATGTCCTATAAAATTAAGCAATTATGGAACAATGGAGTATTTGTCATATATACGGCAAATATGTATTCGCGAGACGATAAACACGTTCCGACATGTGTTCTAAGCCATGATAGCCTGATGGTATGACCTACCGTCTCTCAAGCAGAGACCGTAGGTTCATATCCGGGCTCGCACCTCTGAGGTTCTCGGAATTTATGTGCGAAATTTAGTTTGAAAATTTACCATGAGCGTTTCGCTCAAATAAAACATTGTTGTAGCGAAACCTGTGGTTCAAAAACAAATGGCGGGTTTTAATATTTACATTTTTCACACGAATTAATTTTTAGTTTATGTATATTACGTTGTGCGTTTCTGATTATTTGTTACCATTAAGCTGATGGCTCTGAAGCCAATGCTTTATAAATAAATAATAATAATGAAACTTGTTCACAACCCTGGGAAAACGTGAAATCCCCAACGCATTGGGCCAGTGTGGCGGACTACGGACTATACTCTCGCTGGAGAGGTTACTATGTGAGGAGACATATAAAAAGGGTTGATGATGATGGCATGTCATGTGTCTCCATTGTGCGCTCATGCTAGAAACCGTGACTACTCCAGAGTAGATATGAGCGCCGATAATTGACCCTTAAACGAATTTGTATAACTGTGTTTGTTTTTACAAAAACCGTTATACAAACACTTTAAGGGAAAAAATAAAATAACGTATTTGCTACAGTAATTAAATTTTTATCAGTTTAATTAGGGCTCCGATCGTACGCACGCGAACGCTTCCATATTGTGTATGCGTAGTGAAAAAGGCGACGCCTAAATTGACAACTTAATGTTATAAACAAAACATCTGCGAATATAAAGTCACTTTTTTATCACAAAGTTTTATCTTAGAAATGTCAATTTCTGGTCGAACGCCTGATCGAACTGAGATGAACGGCGCGCCGATTGCATTTGACGGCGGCGGCGCGCCGATTGCATTTGTCGGCGGCGGCGGCACGCCGATGCGGCGCTCTTATTTACTCCAGAGTCACGGCTGAAATTAGTTCAGGCGGGAGGTAAGCATGAGCTTATATGACACTTTTAAATGGAGAATGTGAACATATAACTGTAGTTTATTAAGTAATTTTAGGTACAATCGATAATGTTGTTACTATAATAATAAGGCATTTGTACATAAGTGTTACTCCCTGTCCTTCGATATGTAGGAGGAGTGGAAATATTCTTACCCATGTCTCCGATTGAGCAAGTTCATAACAGTATAGCTTTTACTTGTAGTAGAGTGTATCATTGGAGCAGTACATTCAAAAGAACTGATTGTGATAGTGTCGGTCTATAGACTGTCTTTGCAAGTTTGTGTTAAATCATAGTTTCCCAAAGCGGTCCGTACCCAGCGGGCGCTGAGGAGGAGGGCGATAACGGCCTCGGAAGCAATTGGGGAGCGTTGATGTTGTCCAGGGAGTGCCACTGCATCTCTCCCTTTCTCCCCCTCCCTCCCTCTCCCTCAATACCTATCGAATATTCTGTGCTCATCATCATCTATCTATATTTTTTATATGTATGTAACTCATACATAGACCGAGATTATGCAAGTTACATCTCAAGATGTTATGTTACACTGGAAATACATGAACATTTTCATATCTAATGCTGGTCACGAGAGTTAGAAGAGGGATGATATGGAATAAGGTCGAAACCCTCTCATTTGGGGAAATACAGTGCTTGCAGTGGGATTTAAATATCGTTTGGTACATGAATAATGTATCGGTTTGATTTAATTTACTAATTATTTTAGTTATTTCTGTACTTTATTATGCTTAGTTAATTTTCTTTTTGTGAATTTATACGGCTCAACGAATAGCTCTTAAAATTAAACAATGTTCTTAGTTCCACTACAGATTTACTATTTAATGGTCACACAATTATTTTTCAGTCAAGTTTAGCATATGTAACTGCCATTCATTAACAAATTCAATTCATCAAATTGTCAATTAATAGACATTAAAATAGTCTTATATATATTTGTAACGAGTGAGAGAGACTCACGAGAAAAGAAAAATCTCTAGGTGAACCGCGAAGTGCCCATAGTCCACTCAGGTGGACATAAGTGAACCACGGGAAGAAATAATTGCCTGTAGGCTAACCAGGTTAACCAGTCTGATGGTTCACGGGCAAGAAGCGGTTTCAGGATAGCTACATAATTGTGTGGGCAATTATTACGATTGTGTTTTCAAAAATTAGTAGTATTCTAGTATTATCAATAATAATATTATTTGATAATATACTTATACCCACATACCACACGAAATAAGAATCATAATTATATTTTAAATACTATTTTTTAATCAACAATTACCCGCAATATGGTGTTATTCTGGTTATTATTTTTAAATAATAATGTTATTTGTTATGGCTATAGTAGTATAATATGAATATAATTTCTCTATTAATAAAACATTTCTATGAATTTCTGTTTTTTAACTACCTGTTTTGACAAATAAAACAACAACTATACATTAAATTAATATATTTATTCATTAAAAAGTGAAATCACAATTTTAAAAATAAAACGCGAAATAATCACAAGAAAAATATAAAACAATAAAAATCTTCACAATGTACAACACACATTAGAACTGAATGTATTAAAATAATACACTAATTCTTAGTCATGGTCACAAGAGATGCGACACACTGTGGAACATGATACGATGAAAACAACAAAGATACAAATACGTGCGAAAACGCCTGTAGAACCACGCCGTAGCCCAACTGTTCAACTACGACAGTCTATTTTTTGCCCATCTTTCCCTCTTTTCAAACTAAGAGAAAAACGGACGGATATAGATATTTTTCCATTTGTAATTTTGATCGAGACGTAAGCAATTTGAAAATAGAACAACAAATTTTTTTGTTGTAATGTCTAATGACATACTGTAACCCTGTAGCCCGGGCCAGAAGGTAATTTTCCTTTAAAACTATACCCAATACCCCAAATGAAGAAGTCAACGATTCAAGTTTTGCGATTATTGGAAAGGAATCCTTTAACTGAACTTAAGAATCCTCCTCTTTTCATTTTAAATCCGCTTATAGGCAAAATAGTGTGATTAGTGAAGTACGATGCCGAGGTGTCGTAAATCGAGGAACTTAGATCGATGCCCTGAAAATAATAATCAAACCAATTAGGTCCCTGACTACCAAACAAACTACGAAACTCCCTTAGACGGGATTGATTTCATGGTAATGGTCTGGCCATACAGAGGCGGCGCCGAGGCGCTATTACACCGCGAGCGCTCCGGTACGCAGGTCTACTCCTGGACCGCTTTTCCCGCTGTACCGCCTTTGTGTGGTCTGAGCTTAAAGGTTCTAATATACAAACGATATTTTGCTGGAACCACGGAAGTAAAAAAAAGAGTGGAAATGACGTCAGCGACATTAAAAATTTGAAAATGTAATCTTACATTAGGACTAAGATAATATAATTTTGATTGATTATAAATTATCAAACGAAATTAAACAATAGTAAAAAAGTTTTGCTAAAATAATAGAAATTGATTTGAATCCAAGAAGGTTTTACATAGGGCGCCCTATGAGTTTCCGGAACTGGCCACTTACATAAACAATATTTAAAAAGTAACTACAATATTTGAAAATGGAACTCTGGCTGTAGAATACAGTTTGTTTCATCTTACTGCCACTTGTTTTCACATTGTGGCGTCATTTCAGAAATTGGTTGTCTACATCACGATGGGATTTAACTCGTGAAAATTTGAGTAGTATGATTCTCTACGACTTTAAGTGTAATTTGTGAAACAGCTCGGCGGAGCTTCGTTCGGCTTTAAACTGCTTTTGGCGACGAAGCACCATGTAAGACGACTGTTTACAGCTGGTTTGCAGAATTCAAACGCAGTCGTGTGAATCTCAGTGACGAATTTCGTGGTGATCGCCCGTCCACTGCTGTGAACAACTAAAACATCGATGCTGTGCGCCGATATGATCAAAAAATACCGGCCAAAACATACATACCATATGTGACATACCATGAGATTCGGGCATCTTTATGCATAGGCTTGAGTCAAATACAATCAATACTACACAAACATTTGGGTGTGCAAAGCTGTGCCCTTAATGTATCTCACACAATTTGTCTGAGGCTCAAAAAACGGATCGCGTCACTTGGTGCAATGCCATTTGCTTACCAGATTCAACGAAGGGGCGTCAAATTTGTTGTGAGACATAGTAACAGGTGACGAAACATGGATTTATAGTTACGATCCCAAAACAAAGCAGCATTAGATCGTATGGGTCTTTCAAGATGAGCCGAAACCAACTAAAGTGGCGCGCGTGCAAAGTGCCTCTAAGCGGATGATTGCTTTTTTTAAAATAAAAGTGACACGTGGCTACTGTCGCTTTGGAGAATTGTTGTACCGTGAATAGTGATTGGTACATTTGTATGCCGGAAGTTATTGACAAACTCCGTAAAAATAACCGTAAACGCCGTATCATCTTGCATCACGATAATGCCAGTTCTCACACGGCCAGACAGACAAATGAATTTTTGAAGGTGAACAACGTTGACCTTATGAGCCATCCCGCGTACAGTCTCGACCTGGCACCTTGTGACTTATTTATTTCCAAAACTTAAGAACCAGTTACGCGGTCAACGAGTTCATCACCTGAAGAGGCTGTCGAAGAGTATGAAAAATATGTTTCAGAGATTGTCTCGGAGGAGTGGTATGTTTTCAAAATTCGTTCATTCGTATGAAAAAGTGCATTAACACTAACGGAGAACATTTTGATAAACAATAAATTCATTTCTGACCATTTATAGTATATATTTTTTATTCATTCCGGAAACTTATGGTGCGCCCTACCATTTTCTTTTTCTTTACCTTTTAACATTTTTGTAGAAAGCAAAAAAAAAATTCTAATGTTTTTGCTGTTTATCGTGTTTGTTTGAATTAATTTATCTTCTGATATTTTTTAACCTGTTCTTCTATAGTTTCCAATTGGTACTTATTTGAGAAGACAAGAGCTAAAGGTAAGTTTGTAAGTTATTAAGAATTAATTAAAACTATCAATGTTGATGAGCTAAAGCGCAGACTTATTCTATTTTAGGTATGTTGTTGAGTGATTTGTGATTATTGGCGAGGTATTGGATTATTATCTGTGTGTAAGTGCATGTAGGTAATACATTCACTGTTTATTGTTTATAATGCTTAATGCTTGTGTCTGATTCATCTTCATCCTTCAGGTGGAAACGTGTAAGTGGTTGTAAGTTTCTAATTATGTTTGAAGCTGTTGGTTTTTCGTGAATAGATACATAAATAAATAAATAAGTAGTCTCATCTACACTCCTTGGCAGTTGTATGGGGGTGGAGAACGACTCGCCTGATGTGTTGGTATCCAATAGTACGTAAGAGTCATCTGATGTATCAGCAGAGTTCTGTACGCTCTTTGCTGTTAGGTGCGACCTCTCAATCTTGATGGGGTTAGTATTATGCGACGCCTTGTATTATGCGATTTCTTGCCAATTATTACGAGTTACGTTACGACACAAATGTATCGTAATTATCACATGATAGTTTTACTTAATTATTAATTGCTAATTTACATTTAGCTCTTATTGTCTCTCAAATAAGTACCAATAGGAAACTATAGAAGAACAGGTTAAAGATCAGAAGAATAACATAGTAAATCTATTCAAAAAATACAATAAACAGCAAAAACATTACAAAAAATTTTGGCTTTCTGCAAAATATCAGTCGTTGTGAATTAAAATGCTTTAGGCCCAGATATTGTCAGTCTCACGTCTTTAAAAGCTTCCTTTTTTGTGAGAATAGTATCTCATTAGCTTTAGAGCTCGCTTTTTTATGGGAATAGTATGCATGGTTAACTGTTATTTGAAATCTGATGTGTAAATTAAATACGATTAATTTACCTACATATCAAATTTCAAGTCTATCCAATCACTGAAAGGGTTGAATATTAAAACAAAGTCGTCATAAAAAGTCTTTATTCTCTCTGAAATATATGAGGTATATTTGTTCTACAGTTACCTTTTTCTGAATTGACTGAACATCACAACACTTACAGCGTCGACCAGCTTGTCAAGAAAATGAAGATAGTTATTTCCGAAGGCGAAGAAGTGAATCAATAATTTCAAGAAAGCTTGACGTCAAATAACTAACAATGCTTCAGACATGTTTTCACATTTAGATGTGGTCCATAAATTGCGAAGTCGACTCTGTTTCATGTCATATATTACATGATTAACACAATTTCTTGCATGGGAATTGCCTCTGCTTTTAGAATTTTTCTCTTGTTATTCATAGATATATAATCTGATACTGTCGTAAAATACCTACAGCAAATGGTGCAACATTATGTAGGTACCCAGCTTTTTCTGCCTGTTGCTTCAGCCCATTTCTCCATTAAAAAGGATCCGACGGGAAACTAAAAACTATAAAACTAAGAACTCAAGCGGATGAAGGTGACGCATAATAAGCAAGTAATGAGATAGGAATCATGTATACGAGGGGAAGGAAAATGTCTATTCTTATAAAGTCTTTATTTGATACTCCACGAGCTTACGTGCATGGTAAAATTATCGATACTGTATCTCTCCTATCCATATTTCCTGTTTAACTAAACCAAAACCGGGTTTGTAAATACAGAATTTATACTTATCGATAATTTAATTACAACACCCGGACCCAATACCAAGTGGAGTGCGTCGTTAGTGCAAGCAATTCATTGAGCGTCATTCGAATTGTTCTTTTGATGGTGGCGATGGCTAGCAACAACGTATATTGTTATTACTGGGTTGCCACAAGATATTCTTGTTTCGAAATATTAATATTGTATTGTTCAAAATATTAGGAAATACAGAGTTTCAGTACATACCCATGAAATGTAATCACTCTCGGTGTATCTTTTAAACTTTGCTTCTTACGCGACAAGATGTAACGGCATATTTCAATTTTTTTCACAAAATAATCTTCTTGTATATTTGAACGACAACTGACGCGCTGTTGATACTCATAGGGAGCGTCTGCTCATAAGCTGTCAGAAGCCAGGTAAAGCGTGTCCCGCCCACTAACCAGTCTATTAATTACTAATATTTATTAGGTCTGTGGCTGAAACTGTAGCCGACTGTAATATTAACTAAGCTGCTTTGAAGTTAAGTATTTACTGAAAAATATTTCGACAAAATTAAACATATTTAACGAACAAGAGCTTATTCAGCTACAATCCTATGAAATTAACACTACTTCCGAACAATAAACTTCTAAAAGAAATTTTAATTTAGCGTAAGAAACACGTTTTGCTAAAAAAGTAGGACCAAAATCAATGAAATTTATATTATTGGTTATAGAATTACTTTCACCCTCAATTTTAATAAAAATGCGTGCCTCGTTCTAGCGTGACCATGGTCGAGTTTTGAAATTTTGTTAATCAAATATAAAGTCGCCATTTAGTCGGTTCTAGTCGCAAAAAACTAGATTTAGTCGGTCCGCCGGTTTACTGTCCACAATGGAATAAGCTTATTCCAGCGGCACCATTTCTCAATATCGAGAACCACAACACCTAGCTTAGATCTGATTACACTAAAAACAGTCGTAATATAGTCGGTTCTAGTCGTAAAAAACTGATTTATTCGTTACGCCTTACGTTGGTATAAAATTATTCTAGCGGCACCATTTTTTAAACTCGCTCGGAAACCGCAGCTCCTAACTTATTTTAAGTTATTTTAACAAATTGATATTTTAACAAAGACCAACGGCTATCTTACAGGGTAGAAACTGAAATAATAATGGAGATCAAATTATACATCCTCACAGATAGACCCACGTGACGTTAATGAGCCTTAAATTATAACTATATAGTTAGTTACTAACTAGTAATGACATTTTCGCAGCACTTAGTAAATATCTACACGCCAAAAAACGAACTACTAATGTGACGCTTCACCGATGTAACACTAGTATTAAAAAGGTCAATATTAGCCTGCTTGGATAACACATTGAAGCTATTACGCGCACGCAAGAGATATACATTCTGCCGAAAATTCGAAGAGGCCAGAGGTACGCACAAAAGTGAATTAAACCTAAGGGTCTTTGTAGGAGCTCTAAGAGAAATCTTGGACACGAGTTCCGTGGAGCCACGGCACCAGACGCAATTTTTCGCAAAAATGCTAGGTCTGCTATCTGACGTTGCATATATGTATAGTGGCAAAAGATGATCTTTCTTACATATATCAAGATACCGGTTTGACTCGTATCGCTCCCTATTTCGAAAACATAAAAACTTAATAAATCTTCTTTGCACATTTGCAATACGCGATATGTGGGTAAGGTATTGGGGGCTTCAGACCTCCGATGCGTATTCCAGGTAGCTGCGGACAAATAAGCAATATAAAATGTTTAATGTCTTATCTCTGGAATTACGCATCATAAACCCGAGAGCTTTAGAGGCTTTTGAAATAATTGAGGTTGCTCACCAGCACTGCTGCAGAATATTTAAGATTGCTCACCAGCACTGCTACCATAATTTCTTAACGTCCTCAAATATTTGCACTTTTCCTCCTCATGCCCTCAAAGCGCCTTTTTTAGAGAAGGGGAAAACCATTCAGGATAGCGCCTACCAGTGACTGTTTTACATGATATGTATCTATCTCTCAATGACAAAACGACAGCTTAGATCTCATTGCACCCAGAAAAAGACGTGAATTAGTCGGTTCTAGTCGCGAAATGTTACAATTAGTCGCTGATTTGTTTAAAAATACAATCGATTTATTATTTCAAGGTTATACTTATTTTAGTCACTCAGCTCATGCATGTACAAATTTTGCATAATATACAAGCATTTGTTTGTTTGTTTTAAATAGATGGTATTTGTAGATATTAATAAAGTTTAGCTTTTAATACAAGCAATTTAGCTTAAAATATATAGTTACTTTTCCTTAACGTCATTAGGATTTATCGATTGTCATGATATATTGAGACGTGGATAATGACTCAGAGACAGATAACGATTGGAGGCATTTGAAATGTGGTGCTGGAGAACAATGGAGGGAATCAGTTGGACGGAAAGAAAAGCCAATGAGGAGGTGTTAAGAACGGTGAATGAAAGGAGAAGCAGACAATTGAGAACCGAAGGGCGAAAATGTTTGGTCATCTGATGCGTCACGACAGTTTTCTTAGAAACATAATAGAAGGGAAGATCGAAGGAAAGAGAGGCAGGGGAAAACAGACATGAAGTTATTTAGATCAGATGAAGGAAAAAAGTAAATATCGTGTCGTATCAGGAAATCAAGGCTAAAGCGCTAAACAGAGATGATTGGCGATTATTCCACCGGCAAGAGCCTAGCTCTTAAATAAAAAGAAGAATGATATTAATTACTGACGCAAGTGAGCGACTAATACTAACATTTCGCGACTAGAACCGACTAATTCACGACTTTTTCTGGGTGCAATCAGATCAAACTATAAGCTGTAGTTCTCAAGATTGAAAAATGGTGCCACTGGAAGAAGCTTATTCCAGACACGACAGTAAAACACCTTAATAACTTCAAAGCTGCGTAACGACTAAATCTAGTTTTTTACGACTAGAACCCGCAAATCACAACTTTTTTAGTGTAATGAGATCTAAGTCACGTGTAGTGGTTCTCGATATTGAGAAATGGTGCCGCTGGAATAAGCTTATTCCAGCGTGGACAGTAAAACACCCTTATAACTTTTTAACGGCGGAGCGACTAAATTTAGTTTTTTGCGACTAGAACCGACCAAATGGCGATTTTTTGTGTGACTAATCAAATTTCAAAAACTCGACGATGGTGATGACTCTGGAATAAGACACGCAATAAAAGCATAACCTCGGACGGCGACGCTTCGAATTTTATATGAACGCAAGACTGTCCGGGTAGAAATTAATTTCCCTACTATTATATATTCAACCCCCCAAATTTCTTTTCCCAAAATTGTTGCATATCGTTACCTTATGTTGTTATTTCATATTTATTTAAAATACTGCAGGTCGTACAATTCATGTTTTTCTACATAAAGTGGAGCGCCATAAAAAAAATCAGAAAGAATTGTATTATTACAAACTTACATTAAGAGACGTATTGATGTGATACGAATCAATAGAACTGTTCATGCTCGCAACTTTTGGTATTAGCCGGCCAAATCTTACATCAGAAGTCTTCGATCGCATTATCAAGCATGACATCAACCTCTTAAGGAATGGCTTACGATTCTTCACTTCTACTGGGTTTACTTTATAAGCCTTCCAGGTCACGTTTTCAGATGATAAAGAGTCGATCGATGTCCCCAGATTGGGAGTTGGACATTTCCGACGACATCCTGAAATGTTAATATTGAGAATTACACAAGTTTTTGTCTATTAATTAAAATTATTATTATATGCTCGTTTTTGTGCCACCTACCTTTAAAAAGTGTATAGAGGCTATTTGAGCTGTGTTTCCTTAACAAAAGGTGACTGGAAGCTTGTCTCACGACGTTACCATCAAGATACGATGAAGAAAATGTTACGCGTTTTTCTGTGTTAATGTTAGCGTAATAGATCTCAGCAGAAGAAGCTGCTCGTCTTGTACTAGATTTCAGCTTTTGTATTGGATATATGGTTTCCCCTTCTAGACCGTGAACCATTCTACAAATATTGCAAAACTTGTCATTATCTATATAGTATCGTGGGGCCTCGTAACGTTCTTTCAATTCGTTTTTCTTAAAACTTGAAACATTTGAAACTTGTACATTTTTCCGTCCACATTGCGCACACTTTAAATTATATGAATTGTTGTTTTTTCCTCCTTCTTTAACACAGTTAATGACATTTTGTGTGTCCCTCCTTGGTTCCGGTACTGTTTTCTTTGTATTTTGTTTGATACTTGTTAATTCCTTTATCTTATTCCTTATAGTTCCGGGGTCAGCGTCTTGGTAAATTTGTTGTATCAATGACTGTTTTGGAGATTCAGCAGCAGATTCCATTTGTTCTGTAGTCATTTTGCACACCTTTTGAGCAGTTTCGTTTTTTGTCATAAGCCAAGAAGTTTTCTGACTTGCTTGTTCCGCTCTGTTGAGAGTGCATACATTAGCATGCATAGGGTTATTAAACTCATTTTCACCATCTTTTTTCCTTATCTCTCCTACAGAACAAGAACAGCAGTGATGAGCATGTCTGCCTTTCCATATCCTCGAATGGGTAACTTTAACATCTAATACTTTTTTCACTTTTTCATATTGTTTTTTCGATAGTAGTATAGGTTTTTGTTTATGAAACTTTTCAATTTGTAGGTATATGTTTATATTTCTATTCAAAATTAACTGTTGGTAGTTAGGCTGCGCTTCATCCACAGATTGTTGTCCATGATGTTTATCATCTTCGCTCTCGAAAACTGTACTTTGTCTTGGAAAAGAGTTTTGTTCATGTTCATTTCCTTTAGGCTTATTTTCTTCAAGCTTATTTCCTTCCTGACGCTCGTAATGTTTAATTCGTCTTGGGTAATCGATACTTCTATTTCTTTCTTTGTTCTCGAAAATTTCAAGACCATTTTCTTCCTGAGGCTCGTAATGCTTACTTCGTCTTGGGTAATCGGCACTTCTATTTCCTTCTTTGTTCTCGACAATGTTAGGCTCATTTTCTTCTTGACGCTCGTAATGTTTACTTCGTCTTGGGTGATCGATACTTTTATTTCTTTCTTTGTTCTCGGAAACTTCAAGGCCATTTTCTTCTTGACGCTCGTAATGTTTACTTCGTCTTGGGTAATCGACACTTCTATTTTTTTCTTTGTTCTCGAAAACTTCAGGGCCATTTTCTTCTTGACGCTCGTAATGTTTACTTCGTCTTGGGTGATCGATACTTTTATTTCTTTCTTTGTTCTCGGAAACTTCAGGGCCATTTTCTTCTTGACGCTCGTAATGTATACTTCGTCTTGGGTAATCGACACTTCTATTTTTTCCTTTGTTCTCGAAAATTTCAGGCTCATTTTCTTCTTGACGCTCGTAATGTTTACTTTGTCTTGGGTAATCAACAGATCCATTTATTTCATTGTTCTTGAAAATTGTACGTTCTGTTTGATGATCAATCGATTCGTCTTCTTTTTGTACAGGTTCCTCAACGCGATTCATTTCGTGCTCCTCAGGCAATGCAAACTGATTGCGAATGTTGAGTTTCTTACAGGTGCAACAAGTAACCTTGTCGCAAGTGTTTTTCAGATTACTGGCTCCAATTCTTTTTGATGGTTTTGATTTTAACTTTCGTACAGTTTTCACTGAAGAAACTCTTTGTGGAAATATTATATTAGTAGTAATTCCTTGATGTTTAAGTGATTTTGGATCATTGATCAGGTCTGTAGATGTCCAAACGGATTTATCATTAAACTTTCTAAATTTATTTTCTTCAAGTTTTTCTTGTACATGTTCTTCAACGTGATTTATTTCGGTTGCCTTAATCAATGACACCTGATTCTGGATGATGGGTTTGTTGCAGGTGCAACAACTAACCTTATCACTAGTGTTTTTCAAATTTCGGTCCCCATATTTATTTGATAATCTTGATTGCAATCTTGGTACTGTTTTTGGAACTATTGTGTTAGTAGCATATCCGTGATATTTAAATAATCTTGGATTATAGATCAGATCTGCAGGTACAGAATAGGATTCATCGTTGTGCTTACTAAATTTGTTTTCATCCGGTTTATTCTCTTCTTGGCACTCGGAAATTGTACGTTCTCTTTGGTAGTAAATACATTGCTCTTCTTTTTCTTGTACAGGTTCCTTAACGCAATTTATTGTAAGCTCCTCATTCAATGCCAACTCATTCTGGATGATCGGCCTCTTGCGGGTGCAAGAACAAATGTTATCGCTAGCGTTTTTTAATTCGATGTCTCGATATTTTTTTGATGATCTTGATTGTAATCTTGGTACAGTTTTCACATTAGCAACTCTTTTGGTAACTATTGGGTTAGTACTACTTCCTTGACATGGAATTAATTTTAGATTATAGTTCGGATCTGGAGGTGTCGAACAGCATATATCCTTCAGCTTACTAACCTTCCTTTCTTCAGGTTTATTTTCTACCTGGTGCTCGACATTTGCGCTTTGTCTTGGGAAATCAATAATTTTATATTCTTCTTTGTTCTCGGTAGTTGTACTTTCGCCTTGGTCGACAATACATTGTTCTTCTTCTTTTTCTTGTATAGGTTCCTCAACACAATCCATTTCAGCTTCCTTCGCTAATGGGAAATGTTTTGGGATAATCGGTTTATCGCAGGTGCAACACTGAAACTTATCACAAGTGTTTTTTTGTTTTCGGTAGTCATATTTTTTTGGTGGTGGCGATTTTGTTTTTTGTAATGTTCGTAAGTTATGATCTTCTTTTGGTTTTGGAACTATTGGGGTAGTGGTAGTTCCTTGACATTTAAGCAATCGTGGATTATAGATCTGATGTAAAGATGTCGAACAGCATTTGTCGTTGACCTTTTTAAGTTTTGCGATACATTTACATTTAGATTTTTTTTTCCGTCTCTTTAAATCCTTAATTGCTTTTCGTTGCTTTTTCTCCTCTTTCTGTTTTTCCTTCTTCTCCTTTTTGTCCCTCTTCATTTTCTTTTTAAGAAGACGAGTATTTGATGAATTCGTAGAGAAATCAGAACAATCGCTAGAACTTTTCTTACATTCTTTTTTGTCACAACAGCGTGGCCTAGTCAAATCTGGGCGCTTTTTGCGCAGAAGCTTCTCAGGCGGTATATGTTCTATAAGCGCCTCAGGCGCCACAGGATCACAACTTTTTTTACGTTCTCTGCTAGGAAAATCATTCGGATGGTTTATATTACCATCAACTGTTTTTCTGGATAATTGCACTGCGCTATCAGGACAGCAACAGAAGGAATGTAGATTGCATGTTTTTAAAGGATATACTTCAAAAGGCCGATATGTTTGTTTGGTATATACATTGGTTTGATAGACCTCGTAGTGGCATTTTGCCTTTTCGTGTTTACAATTTTTGGTGGAATTCACTTTGTTACAAATACGACACATGATATCATACTTTGGAGCTATCCCAGCGATCTCTCGAACACTTGCATGAGCATGTTTCGGCCTGAAAATATTACTTTCGTCACATACTTATCCATACTATTTCAAACCTCCCATATAACTACCATTCGCAACCTTGGTATAATAAAACCATATCTGCAAAGTAACAACTTTTCAGTAAAGATTGAAAGATTGCATTTAGTCGATAACTTTTTACATTTAAATAGAATATGTATAAAATTTCACATTTATACATAAATTGTTTCATGTAGTTCGCACTGTTTTTGTGAGTTTGATGTGATAAAAGTACTTTTGATGTACGGTCACATGTTGCTTTATTACACCAAGGTTACGTATTGTTCTAAGACAAAACTGTATTTTTAGACAACACAATAATAAAAAAAGTTTTAAAAAGATGAGGGTATAATTGAAATACTCTTATGAACAGTTTACTTCGCCCATCGAGTATATTTCTGGTTATATGATCGACGGCTTCGTCAAATTAAAAGTAAAATTTAAAAAAGGAAACGAAGAAAAAATTAAACTTAAAAAAATAACCGTTTGTCACAGGAGCTGTATTGAAGGCCTGCTGGAAACCATTGAAGAACCTAAGTAATAAAAATAACATTAAAATATTAAACAAATAAGTTACGTAAAAAACGTAAGTAAGTTTTTATACGTGTGGAACGCGATTACTTCGTCTGCTCCGTCATAAATGTGAACCGATTTGTATTATTCTTTTTTTGTTGGAAAGAAGGTACCCACCTCAGTAGTGGTATCATTCAAATTTGAAGATAACATTCCACCTCTAATGGAAATCTAAAATGTTCCACCGGATTTATCCCCTAATAATTTGCTATATTTGGGGATGAATCTGGTTTATTATATTTCACCCATTTTCAAAAAAAATTTTGCAAATACATGGAATTCCACAAATTTTCGAGGTCGATCTTTTTTTAATAATTTGGTATCATAAAAAATAATCAAAAAGTTATTGATTTGTAAAACAAATTTCCAACATTACAAATTTTCTATACAAATATAATGATTTAATATATAATAATTATAATATATATTTATAATTTAATTTTTATCTTACATTTCATATTATATTTTTATTATGAATTTTATAAAGGACTAATTCAGTTTCCGTAATTTTTATGATTTTGAAAGCACTATTTTTCATTGATGTAGGAATAATTGCAATAAAAAAATATTGTCTAACGTTAATTAGATAGAAAAAGATTTTATTCAATAATATGAGATATTTGCAGCCTACAAAACAGGGAAAAATAAAAAAAATGTCACAGCAGTGAAAGAGTTAAGATGTAGGCGGGCATTTCTTCAAAGCCACATTTTTCTGTGTCCATGTACTAAACTCCACTTATTTGTCAAAACAAAAATCTACAAAAAAGAGAGTGTATAATATAGGTCGAAAGCTAACTGGAGAGCACAAAATCTTCCCAATAAACATTTGGGATCTGATGAAAAAAATCCGAAATACCTAAAACCTAACAATGGTGGCGTGTCCCGAATGCAGAATCCCACACAAAGTGTCATTTTTCTCAAAATTTAAGCCGTATATCAATATTAGACTTTAGTTCACGTATAATAAATTAGATGACAGTACTTATAATCTGAATTTCACAATAAACTAGACAATAGTTTTATCATAATACCAAGATTCCTGTGTTTTTTTTAAATTCTAATATAAATGTGTATTTGACCTCCATCTCACTTCACCTGATGGAAAGTGACGATGAGGTCGATTATTCACTCTCGCCTTGAAAAGGTCCAAATTATAACGTTCATGTAACACTACTAATTGCTAGTCAGCTATAAGGCTGAAGCAACTGTCCCGGTGTGAAGTAATGCCTCACCCTGGAAAGGATGCCAAGCTTCTTGGCTGCATTTTTGGCCATGGATTCAATGTATCTGCCGAAGTTCAGATTGGACGACAGGTCCATTCCAATTAGCTGGAGACGGTCGGCTATTGGTATGGATATATCACGAAAAGTCGGAGTCAGCTCAAAGGGACTCCGTTTAGTGGAGAATAGACACGCCTGCGTTTTGGTAGCGTTAAATTTGACAAGATTGGCATCACTCCAATCGGAGACTGCCTTGAGCGTCAAATCTAAACGACTCTCCTCTGACCTTTGCATTGGTCAAGTACCTATCTACAACTGTGCTGTCATCAGCATACGCAAAGGTATGTATAGGTACCTGGAATTAACATATCATTGATATGCAACAGAAAGAGAGTTGCAGACAGTACGGAACACTCAGGAACTATCTATCGCCGTATGTTCGGAAGAGTAGCCTTCTAAGACCACTCGAATGGAACGTTCACTCAAGAAATCTGAGATCCAATTGCAAAAAAGGTCAGTGGGAAGCCCATAACATGGAAGCTTGCTTAAAAGGCTTGCGTGCCAGACCCTGTCAAAGGCTTTAGAAATGTCCAAAGACACTGCAAGTGCTTCGCTTTGCTTTTCTATAGCCTCGCTCCATATGTGACAAGCATACACAAGAAGATCGCCGGTAGATCGCCCTCGTCGGAATCCATACTGGCGATCACTGAGGAGGTCATTGTCTTCAAGGTATGACAGGAGACGGTTGTTGAGTGCACGTTCCATAGTCTTGCAGAGTATGGAAGTGACTGATATAGGTCTATAGTCGACAGGGTCAGCTCTGCTTCCCTTTTTGGGCACAGGTTGCACGTTTGCAAGCTTCCACGACCTGGGAACTACAACAGTCTCAAGTGAGAGGCGATACAGGCGCGTGAGAACAGGAGACAACTCAGGCGCACAGTTACGTAGGACTACCGCTGGAATTCCATCTGGCCCGCTAACTTTACTCACGTCAAGGTTCCGCAGAGTTCTAAGTACCTCTTTTTGGCGTATGCGAACTGGCGCCATAGCGCAGCCAGCCTGAGGTAAGGTAGGTGGTACGTTCTCTGCGGCATCCAGACGCGAACTCTCTGCAAAGAGTGAGGCAGAGATTCGCCTTCTTTTCTGCAGTATGAGCCAGCGTACCATCCGGCCTCAGCAGAGGTGGCAAAGATGGGTGACAAAAGTTACTTTGGACCGCTTTGGCCAGGGACCAAAAGGATTTGCTACCTGCTGGATAAGAGGCAAGCTTGGCCCCTATGCGACGCACGTGGTCGAACTTGGCCCTACGTTTTGGCACTTCTTGGCGGCTATATTAAAAGCTTTCTTCAGATTCCGCGTACTCGGAGCTTTGCGCAGTCGAGCACCTGCCCATGCTTGGTACGCGGACTGCTTTTGTGCTTGACGACTGCGGAGAGCGTTAAACCATGGACGAGCTTGGGGTCCATTGGGTACATCGGAGTATGGTATGTAATAACTCCATACCCAAACGCAAGACCTCGACTACAGCATCAGCACAGCTGATGTTGCTGATTTCAGGACTTTTTGCGTGTAAATACGTAATGCGGTGGATTTGGTCCAGGTTGATTGTTTAATTCGGTGCATATGATATTTGAAAAACTAAATTTACATATTTTATTTGTAATTTTTTATAATATGTATTGTAACGACTAAAATATAAAAACAAATAATGGTTTTATAAGTATTGTCGTTTACGAGTAATATCAAAAACATATATATATTCTGAATCTCGTGGCCTTGGATTCGGTGGATTTTATGCTACCGAATTCAAAAAAGCTTCCACCGAAGTCGCAGTAAAATGCCATCGAGGCCATATTTTCTTCGAAAAGCAAGATTTTTTTTTTACGTTTTTCCTTATACATATTTAGTTAATATTATTGGTTTTCACAGTTTTATATTACAAGTAGTAATTTAAAATTATGAAAATGCTTTCCGCTGAAAATGAACAAGAAAAATCAAAACAGAGGAGAAAAATTGGAAATCAAGAAGATAAAGGAACGTGCTAGAAAAGCAGAGATAAAAACCATATAAAAACCGATCAAATTATATATGAAGTTTTAAAGAAAGATAGAGGTATGCGAAGAAAAAGCTCAAGGAAAGAAGTTGCATGAATTACCTCGTCATGTGTAAAAAGTAATGAAAGATATTAATCGCGAAAGCTCCAAAATATTGTTTTTTTTTTTGTAGCTACCGATTACGTTCTAAAAATTTTTTTTAATAAAGAGATACGAAAGTACTTTGTGCGATTGAATGATTTGCAGTAATATGATTTTTAGCATTAGTCATAAGGTGAAATTAGTTCTGATCGCTTTTTATATAAATTTTAGGGTGAATTTCACTTTCCCAATTTCAATGGCACTTTTTGAGTGACTTTTTTGTAAAACCCTTTTTTCTTTTGGTTTTAAGGTCTTAAACGTACAAATAAATTCAAGCAATGTCAATAATTATAAACTCACAGAAATATTTAAGTTAAATACAACAAAAAACGATATTTTAGGTCACCCGAATGATTTTCTCATAAACATAAATGAGAAAGAAAGACGGCACAGTAATGAGAAATTATTGTTACAACACACATTTTATCGTTCACAAAAGAACCTTTAACATGTAACAAAAAAATAAGTAAGAAAAAAAATATTTTAATATAACTTCTTGTATCAAAATCCTTGTCATCCGTGTAAGACCGTCTATCTATCTATGTATATGTAATAAATAAATAAATCTAAATAAGTATTTTGTTCATGTAAATGTAACTATTTGACTTAAAAGTAAAAAAGAATGAGAGCGACAATAATGATATTTGGATACATTTTTAATTGTCAAGTGTGTAAAATATGCTGGGCCTTTATAAAAGTGCATAAGATTTTAAAGTTCCCTTTATCTAATTGATGTACAATAATAATAATAACGTACACACTCAACATAGCCCAGCACTAGGGAAACCCTGTGTCGCGGGTGCCATGGACACACACATAGGGTCGTATTCCAGAACTCTATTCAATACTCAAGTCAGGATTTGAGTATTGCAGTGAGCACTGAAAATCATACTCAAGTCCTTGCCATTAGGGTCGTATTTCCAGTGCTTGAAATCATACTCAAGTCTGCTCAAATCCTGACTTGAGCATTGAGTAGAGTTCTAGAATACGACCCATAGACAACCACAAATTACACCCAAACTCACGAGATAAATAAATGTAGACCATACAAATATTTCTCACGGCCCGGGAATCGAACCTGGGACCTCTGCGTGGCAGTCCGGCATGGTAACCGTTCAACCACCAACGCAGTTCAGTAACAATAAAGTTTGTTAAATTTAGTATTTACTTAGATTGCTTTACATGAATGAGAACGATTTAGTTACTAGCGCTGAAATTGGTATTTAAGTCGATTTTTTGCTAAAACGGAGATGCACAGGTTACTTCTCTGTGTACACTCCAATCCGACAGGAGCCCCTTCTCACGTGTGCGAAGGGTGAAGGTGATGCGGTATGGACTTTTGTTATTGAGAGGCTTTCAGTTGAATTGACACTAATGATAAGAAAAATTGAAACACATTTTGTATTCCCAAGAAAGCATGTTTGTTTATAATAAATTGGAAAGTTACGATATGTATTCGATGTGTAAGTTATTAGAGTTTATCCTCGATGGGATATATTGCGATTTCCACGAGTGTTTAATTTTTATGTTCTTTTCTTAAAATTAGGGCGAAGTGGAACCGGCTCCCAGGAATGAGAAATTGCCCACTTTTTTAATTTTTATATTTATTACTGTGACGTAGTAAAGTAGTCGTTTTATGTGTAACACAGACTAAGTAAGCAAGCAATCATATTAAATAAATAATGCTCAGCATTCATGTAATAACACAAAATTTATTGAAAGGGATACATTTTTGGAGGTTATCTGAAAACGACCCTTTAGTTTTTAAAGCTTGATTTAATAGTTTGTCATATGAGTAAATATTTAATGTAGATTATTGAACGTGTTTATTGACTTTTCATAATATTTTATACCAAATTATGCCTCTTGTTTAAATTATCCTGATTTCGGTGGCGGCTGAATGCGGTAGATCAAATATGTCAACAACTGTTAAGAATCTAGTTCCCCAATTAACGGAATCTTATGTAAGTTTGAGTTCTATTACCGCTCAATGTTTTTCTTAAAATTAAAAAAAAATCGACCACTGAAGTCAGAGAACTTTATTGGAGAAATGCCCTGACATGTTATTTAAACAATTAATAATGTACAGGGTCAAGAGCACGTCAAGCTTGACACTCAAGACTTAAATCCAACTCTATGCCCCTTACGATAAGAACGGTCCAAAGTACATACTGTCAAGCTTGATGTGCTCTTGACTGTACCAGATAACTATACCAATTAGGTCTCAAACTAGAGAATTGCCTGTACTGCATCAGCGCAACGGAATTCATTCCGGGGCCCTGATTTTAATTCAAGTCGGAATTGATCCGACCGGGTAGCCCAACCGCAATATTATACGCCTGGACTCGGAAAAGACGCAGTTCGCAGATCGCGAGTGGGCCTCTGGGCTTGGGCCCGGGTCACGCATTACCCCGAATACGTATAGAAAAGTTCAGTTCCTAAACTGATTCTGCCGGGAATCGTACCCGAAGCTTCTTGCGCCCACAGTGAAACCTTCGAGTCACCGTGATAGTCTAGTTGAAATAATTAAGTGTCGATCGATGGAGATGTTTCTTCTGTAAAAAGGCAAACGCAAAAATAGAGTATATATATATATATATATATGTCATAGCGCCCTCTTACATTACGCGATTTCTCACAGATGGCGCGACGGCAAAAAAGTCATTAAAAAAGAAGATCTGCAACAAGCACATAGAAAAATTCGTGTGATACGCTGGTTCGTAAAGTGGCTTAGTTGGCATAGCGTCTGGCACGTTTTGCTAGAAAACGTTACTTCGAATCCAGCCGGATCGAAGGAATTTTTTCTAAGTGTTTGATCTTTGTGTTAATAAAAATAACAAACTAATGGAGTAATTTCACAAAAATAATTTAATATCATGCTGGTGAAACATCCTGACATTCAATACACTTAATTCAAGTCTATTTGTTTTTTTTTGTGAATGAATGAATGAATGAATACCAAGTGACGGGAGGAACAAGTCGTGTGCCCGTTGGTGAGCGTCACGCCTGTCTATAACTGCTGCATTGTCGCTCAGTGCTTTAAATCGCAAAGTTCTGAGGGTCACTGCCACTGCGCCTGTGGACCTGAGACGTAATATGAAAAATTTTAAGTGCCCGTAATTTCACCCTTACCCTTCAAAACCGAAACACAGTAATGCTCACATTACTGCTTGGTTCCCTGGAAATCGCTTTCACAAGGAATTCTACTGCTATAAAAAAACTGGTCACTACAAAATTGAGATTAATTAATTACCACAATTTTAGTCCTTACACGAAACGGGATCGAATGGCATGAAAAAAGTTTTGTGAAAATTGACTTTAATCTAGCTAAGTGTACCATTATTTTTAAATAGGGATGAAACACAAAACTATGAATCGGTGCGGTGCGAAATATGCGAAATATTTCGCAACGCAGAAATATGTGACGCGAATTGCAGCGATGCGATTTCGTGCGGCGACGCATCTGATTGCCACGGTTCGGGCAACCATTCCTTCGACGATCGTACCGATTCGACGATTGTAACCATACTGAATATATTTTTATAATCTTAGTATAGAGTACTAAAAAAACCGACCTCAAAAGTACGTGGAATTACATATAATTACCAAGTTTTATTGAAATCGGTTGACCGGAAAGTGCGCAAACCCGGATTCAACCCCTAGTTCGCCACTATATGGGACTTGACACAGGAGATAATAAAAATTGGTTCTCACTACTCAAAGTATATTGAGAGAAAAACGCCTTGAATTAAAGAAAATAATTGCTCCTTATACTAAAATTTAGGCGCTATTTATAAAAATGAATTTTCATGCGTGAACAGCCACTTAGAGGTGGATGATTTTCTTCAAAATTATATGGGACCACTATGGAGGTACCCTCTTTCCAACAAAAAATGAATCATGAAAATCGGTTCACAAATACCGAAGTTATCGGGTAACATACATACAAAAAAAAATGCAGTCAAATTGAGAACCTATTCATTTTTTGAAGTCGGTTAAAAATACGTAGCGTCACGGATCGTAAAAACAGTGTTCCAGTTCTGTTATTGATAAAGAAAGTATAGGAAAAGAACACAAAAAAGATTAACATCGCAGAAATGCGCGATGCGGAGCAATTCGAAAATTCTTGCGATGCGTCGTGCGAGCTCGTAGATTTCTGCGATGCAACGTCGCATCGTAGTTTTATGTGTCGACTCTTAATCAGGATTGCTATAAGTGCTCATAGTAGAGTCCTAGGACCATTTGGTATTTGATGATTGTACTAGAGTGACGTACCTCCTTGTAAGTTGGAGCAGACGTGGAAGGTGTTTCCACAGGAGTTATAGCAGGCGTATTACTTGAAGTCCCTACGGGTGTCGGTATACGGCTGGGAAGACTGCCTTCTACTGAAGACATAGGAGATACCGTAGGAACTTTAGACCTCTCTATGCCGAGCAGTTCTCTAATCTCTCTGTCCCTTTCGATTGGATAGGTAACAGGGCAGGAATCTCCTATGTAATGCTTGGAAGGAGTTACTGAAATGTAATAAAATTTAAGTCATGAAAAATGCGTTATATAAAATTAGGGATATACAATTTTGAAGATATGCGCATTCGTTCTTAAGGAAAGTATGTTTCGGTGAGGTTAAAGAAGTCACCACACATATTAACGCAGAATCGACTTGAGCCGGTCTGATAAAGCTTCCAACCATGCAATAATTATCTGGCCACGCTTCGGGCCAGGAATTTATGTAATGTTTGAGTCCTTATGCGGTTGGGGCCGAACGCTATGACCAACTGGCGGGTGAGGAGCGGGCCGGGTCCGGGGCCAACACGGAGCGGAAGTTGGGATCCATTGAATTCTATGCAACCGTCCACACAGAGCGGCAGCGGCGGGGCGCGGTCTGGGAGCGGAGCTTTAGCAGAATTGTGCGTTGTTTTGTTTTACCTACAACTCTTGAATGTGTTTTTATTAATTGTCAATATTAATTCAACCGAAATTTATTTCGCGTTGTTTCTGTAATGCTATAAAAGCAGATTTTTTTCTTAAACACTATCCGACAACGATATGATGCTTTCTTTAAAATCTAAGTATAAAATGAAAATTGGCTGTTTTTGGTATCACACTGTCTGCCTTCGCGCCGTTGTCTCGCCGCGAACTACGCGTACAACTGCTAGTGGTAACCCCTGGTACGCGGTCCGCTAGTCCGGCCCCAGACCGCTTTTCCAGTTGTACCGGGTCTGTGTGGCATGACCTTAAGAGTGAAAAAGACGTTGAGCGTTTCTCTTCCGCTCGGCTCGGACAGGCGTTGCGACCAGAATGCATATAACGACTTTTTCATTTTTTTATTGCATGAACATGTTTTGTTTTCCTAACCAGCTTAAGGCCCAGTGCCCACTGACGGGACGGCACGGTAGGGAATTTTTAGGTGATTAACAGTAATATACCTTAATGTTAAGACATTATAGTTGATAGTGGCAATGGTAGTAGCTACCAAAACAAATCTGCAGTGAGCTTAGAGAAGCCTAGCCGGCAGCCTCCGAAACGCGACGGCTTCGGGATGCTTCGACAGGTTTCTGAAGGTTATTCACCCAAAATCTTCTCCTTCTTGGGAGATGGTTCTGTTCTTCTTCAGCAAGATGAGAAGTTGTACAACTTATCTGAAGCTAACTTATGAAAAGCTAGGCACGAGCACGATGTCGCGACGGTATTCGGCATGCCTAAGGATACCGCGGCATAATTGCCATCAGAATGCGCTTGCAAGTAGGAATGCCAACGGATCCCTTGCCTCACCAATGGGCGCCGAGCCTAACCACCAAGAGTCACCAGACCCATTAATCCGTTTTCGGTTGCTTACATCCTTCTACCTCATAGTTGGACAAGCTTAATTGAAAGTACGTAACGTACAATGTGTATTTATAAAAAAGGGATGTGTATGTAGTTGCGTCAAGTGTAGATTATGGACTCAATTGTAAGCCTTCGTCAAAGTGAGTTTTCTATCAGGTGCATTAAATTTTTTGGCTCATTCAATTTAAAGCGGTCTGCCTCAACGCGGACTTTTGTGTCACGACATTGTTTTAGCAACTTGCAAGTATAATTATGTTCATATCGTGATTTGAATTGATCAATACATATCCATTGATTATTTCACAAAATTCGTATTGAGGTTTAGTTTTAATAAAATTTGTTAACACGTTCTTCTAATTAAAAAGAACGATTTTTCTCGTACGGCGTTAAAAAAAGTGCTGTATATAAGAATGACATAAATTTTAAATTTTCCAACATAGAACAATTTGTTTGTTTTAACTTTGGCAAATTGTTGCACTAAAAGGTCAGCGGTTAAAATTCAAGACAACCTGTAGATGGGCAAAATTCAGTTCCTTTGTTTGCAGGTCGAATTCTTTCTTTAATACAATTCGTAATTTTAAATAATAATCATAAACGATACGATCGAAACTTCCGTAAAACTTTCGAAAATAGCACAATATCATATTTTTTTCAAACTCACCCGAAGATTTATTAATTCCTTTACTAAAAACATCGTGAGCAGTTACTGACATTTGTTCTGTTACCACCAATTCAGAGTCACTTTCGTCTGTCCTTCTGGAAACATTATCTAGTCTAAGCATACAAGACGTTAAGAAAAAATAAATAAAACATAAAATAACTTAAAAGATTAAGGGACAACTTGGAAAGTTTATACTGCTACCTGCTTCAAAAATGTGTGTACACACTGCATTCAAGTACAATTATTCACGAAATTGTCATTGTGGATACTTGACGATGATTTTTTCTTTGTACCGTAAATGTACAATCTCATAAATATATCAATTCTAAATATCTAAATAGGCTAGTAAAAAAAGAACAAAAATTCTACCTGTGAAAAAGCTCAATGCTATCTCGTACAACTAATCCAGAAACACGTGGGATCTCAGCGTGGTTTGATTGCTGAAAACAAAATAACCCCCTGTAACATTTGCAACCCTGAAGTATTTCTCACGTATAATTAATATAAAATAAACTCACGTTAAGTGTATTATAAGCGTAAGAGTCTGATCTCTTCCTAGGTGTCCCTTCATCAGTATTGTATAAAAGATTCTTTAAAGATAGGTCCGTATCAATATGTCGAACCTGTACATCAGAAACGCGAGTGCTGTTACGAAATAGCCCGTCGTAAAGTTCATTCTCACCGTCTATGCTTACAGCAACGTTGGATGCATTAGTGATGCCTTCAGCCCACTCGCTTTGGTGTTTCTGACTTGCATGTCCATCCCAAGTTGATCGTCCGTCGATCACACATTCACAAGCGCGTTTAAAAGAATCTACTATTGCTTTCTTTGATAAAGTGACTTCTGTATTCACGCCCTTAGACGACTTCGGTATATCTGTCAGCTCTTGTAACGATTCATCTGACGTATCTAGTGTGAGTTTTTTATACGTAGGATGCTTAGCCTTGGTACCCTCAGACGAAAATTTTGTATCCCTCTGATGTGACATTTTAATTTGTTTTGATGTGCTACCCATCTCTGCTTGTTGCGTTATAACTTTTTGTTGAGTAGCTTTACCAAACTGTGAATTAGCATTTCTGTCAGGACTCTTGACTCTGTTAACTTCTTTTTTAATTTTTATAGTTTTATTTTCCACGAATTTGGTGTCAACTTTTTGTCTGGTTGGACTAGAAGGCGGCGACGATGAGCGACTTCTAGGTCGAACCTTTTCAGATTTAGATACAACATTTTCACTTCTTTCAGTTTTAGCTGCAACTTTTTGTATTTTAACTGGATTTCTGATCGGTGATTTCACTGTTTTAAGTGCAGTACCTGTAATTACTTCAGGTTTTGTTGGAGATCTATCATTTCTCTTTATAGCCTTTTTTTCTGTCTTAGGTTTCAAAGGATTCCCACGTCTAGCAGTTTGTTTATCAACTGCAGGCTTTGCATTATGGGTTGCCCTGGAAGGACTTGCTTCGCGACTGTGCGTTCCTTCTGGCTTGGGATATACGGATATAATAACGAGTGGATTTGTAAAATTTGATGCTCCTATGTCACCCTCCCTTTGAGCTGGTTTCAATATCATATTATCACTGTTAGCACAGTCACACTGAAGCGTTTCGTCTTTATTTGCATATATTTTAAGCTTATCAATGTTGGAAAAACAAACTTGGTTAAAATTAGCAGGTTTGCATTGAGTTTCTTGGCTGAAATTATATTTTATTCGGTTAAACATTGACGTAACTAATTAATTATCGTTATTGCATAATTTTAAGCTTTCCTGTTACCTGCGATATGAAGTGCTCTGCATTGCTGGGCACAAAATAGACTTAATGGCAGGTGTAGCAGGGCACAAATCGACCTGCACAGTTGAATCTTTGTGATTCCTGCAAAAATTAAACTGTAAAAATTATCTGTTTATTATCAATTTATGTGTGTATTATCAAGAAAATATAAACTGTAATCAGTACAATAGTAAATTCACGAATACTTTGCCTTGCTTTGAATTTTGGTTGGTAATTGTTGGAAATGGAGCGTTCGTTTAATCTGTCTTGCGGACACTCGCAGTACCGGCTATAAGGACTATCAGATGGTGTGGTAGAGATGCGACGAGTTTGATACATAGTTTCAACTGTAAAATATTATACCTGTATATTGTCAATATAAATTCAAGAGGATGCATTTAAATACAGATATAAATGTATCCCATTATCATACACAATAATAAATTTAGTAGTTATATAATTTTTTATAGAGAACTTACACGGTTGGTCGTCAATACTAGCATCGCATTGCAGCACATACTGATCATCATGATTCAAACCAAGTTTACCAGTTATTTTAACTTGACCTTTTTTAGAAGGATGGCATCCCGTATCCGCACTGAATGGCTGGCATTTGCAGTCGTATGTAAGTTTCTCAAAAGCTTCCTCTTCTGAAGGCATCTCTTCATTTACAAGTTGTATTTTCTCTAAATTTCTCATTTTCTTTTCATGCAACGATTTAAGATGTCGTTTGACACTTTGTTCCATCTGTGCTGGTGCCATTGTATTAGCAAAAATGTCATAAGAGCCTATTTGTCTCGAGCACGTGCATCTTCCAGTGCCAGAGTATTTCTCAAATTGCTCATCATCAAATTCTTCTTCGTCCTCGCCGGACAGTCTCTTTCTTCTCCCTTTCTTTTTCTTTGTGTCCATATTCAATGATTTTAGCAATTGTTGGACGTTTTGCTTCACAGAAATCTCCTCATGTTTCAATCGGCGCTTGTAATTAGACTTCGAGAACTCGGCGCTGCCAGTGCCTTTTACTTCATAGACTTTTTCGTGTTTTCTATTTTTTATAACAATGTATACGTTTTCGGATTTAACTGAGCTCTCTTGATTAGAAACAGAGCTTTCTATCCTTTTCGGGCAACTTCTCTTCTTTCGAGTCGCAGAAGTGTTGTTCGGTATGACGGTTACTTTGATCACCGGTTTTTCTACTTCTGGATCATCGATTGATGAGTTACAGTAGTGGGGAACTTTTGAGAATTGGAGATTTGTGTAGCTCAATACGGTATACTTTTCGACTGTCTGCGAAAACGGTAGGAGCATTTTATATCGTTAACACATACTCATTTCATTACGTTACAGTTTTAAACGCGATAATTTTAAAAATACACGTTTAAAATATCTAAGAGTAGTGTAAAAAGTAGCAGTGAATTTTTAAAATAAACGCAGGCAATATATATTTTTTAAAAAGCACATCAAGGACAAAACTAACAAGTTGTAGTTATAATCATGTTTCAATGGCGCTTCCTTTAAGGAATATTCTTCCACTTAACCAACAAAAGCTATTTTTTTTATAATATCAAGTGACGCGACGAATAAGTCGTGCGCCTGATGGTAAGCTACACGTCTGTCCTTAATTGTTGCGGTGCCACTCAGAGCTATAAATCGCAAAGATTTTAGAGGCACTGCCACTGCGCTTATCACCCTGAGACGCAAGTTCACAAATCCCATGTGCCTGTAATTTCACCAGCACCCTTACCCTTCAAAACCGAAACGGAATATTTAATGCTTGGCGGCAGAAATAGGTAAGGTGGCAGTACTTCCCTGGACGAACTCTTTCACAAGGAGCTCTACTGCTGCTATTTGCATTACTGGGAGCTTTTAATAATTAAATGTTACTCTTTATTGTTAGGGGTAGTTATTTGAGCTACTGAACGAAATCCTCATTTCGCACCTTTTGGTGTAATAAGTTCACATCTGCAAAAAGACAACTTTTCAGAAGATAGGTTTAATTCTACGAACGAAATTAGTGGTTAACATTTTTATGCTTAAATATGAGAGTTATAAAATTTATAAAAAAGAGTTATAAAAAAATAACTTGTATTATGTAGTTCGTATTATTTTTATGACTTTCATGTGATAAACACACTTTTGACGTGTGATCACTTGTGGCTTTGTTAAACCAAGGTTACGATATTATGTTCTTATTGTATTTCTACGGTATGAGCTCTAAACTCTTGAAGAACTTTTTTAAACTAATTATTATAGTTACAAGCCGATGTAGGCCATACTTTGTGCGCAATATTATCTTAAATTATACACAGGATTATTTGTAAAATACCAACAACCTCGCATGTTTATATTACTGACATATAAACAACAACTTTGGCTCGGCGACTTTCTAGAAAAGATAAATTTATTAAACAAACTTTTTAGTTTCTGTTGTACTATCTAACAATTTTTACATCTATATTTTTAGCAACGCCATGTCTCGTGCGTGCTTTCATTCATAAAAATAATTTTCGTAGTGAGTGTTTTTTTGTAACCGCACAGAATTATCACCATTTAGAGAAACCTATTTGAAAGTTTTATTTTTGTCCGAAAGTAAAATGTGACGAATTATTCAAAGTCATGCAACAAAAGTTGTTGTTGCTGTCTTCGATCAAAAATATATTCGTACACAGTAGCCACTCAAAAAATGGCACCGTCGTAGGAAGGCAAAAATCACCGATATCATCATGTTACGGCACCTCTGCTGAATCGTGAGCGCAACATTAAGCGTCAAACTTATGTAACTCACATTATCCTGTGAAGCATTTGTACTTTGTTTCATAGCTTTAAGGTTTGACGGCGCATTCGCAAAATAGGATCCGTGGCATCATCTCTAATCGATAGTCGTCATTAAAACCATTTTAGCGCTTTCTAGCATCAATAGTAGAACGAACACCAAGCACTGGGAGTAGGAATATCTTGAGCAGATTATCATCCTTGGGTCGTGGTGGCGTGCGCACGCATCCACGTGTTTGGTGGACGTTATTTTGAATCTTAATTAATTATAGCCATACTTTATTGTTTCCTTCAGTTAGTAATTGTAAAATTAAGAATAATAAGAGAAGTAATTAAGATAACCCGTATTTTATTGATATCACCGTCTCGTTCGATAACCCACTCATAGCGAAAAAAAATATGGAAACCACTCTGATATCGGCCTGAGTGCCTTCCGATTCATTTCACAGTACCCTTTTCATAGATATTTTAAAATCTATATCAGAGTGAATTATATCACGCTTTAGGACTACATGCGAAATAACTAAAGAGGTAGATACACTCCTACATAAGTAAGGTTAAAGCAAGGACGTGTTTGGATTTGATTTTGTATGGAATCGCGCGTCCAATATATTTGATTGATGCGAAGTTGTTAATATTTTACAAACAAACCTGTGTAGTAATTCTGAAATTTCCAGATAGTTCTTGAACTGGATATGACTACATACCGTAAGGCTTTGGTAACAAAATGTAACTCACCAGGTTCTCCTCACTTTGCTTCACGAGAACAGACAATGAAGAAGTGGTATCTTTCACATCCCAAGTACTGTTTACACGCTGATTTGGCGTCGTATATAAATTATTATTCGCCTCCGCGTTATATCTAGACGCTTCGTCTCTACAATACCGGTAATTCTTGAAAAGTCTTTCCACTGGCGGTCTCAGATTATTCAGTGTTTCTAAAAAAAATACAAAATTATGAACAATCCTTTTTAAACTTTTGAATTTTGACAAACAAAAAAATTAGAACAACCTTGAACTTTGGGATTCATATTGGCATTTAGAGACTATGGCGGTAAATAAAATTTTCGTATGACATGTCGCACATTTTATGCTATGAAAATTATGAAAATAGCAAGGGTATCTATTGTTAGAATTATTTTATTTCAAATGTGTTATCTGTCAACATGTAATGAGGTGAAATTGAATTGTCAGGCTTATGAGGTTTTTCATAGATATGTCATAGATAAATTTTCGGCCAGCATTAGATACTAGACAAATATTACACTATATCACATACGTAACTCTTTTGGCTGATTGATCGTCTCCAATGTGGAAAGAATGGCAGAGAATCGAGCTGCCAAAACAGCGTATTTGAGGCGACCTAAACCGGCATCCATTGACGGCATGACTCGGCAGGGGATCCTTCGACATCGCTACATGCACACTGATGGCAATTATGCCTCGGTATCTCTAGATACGACGCGGCATCCTTAAGCAAGCCTCCGTCCTTAGGCATGTCGAAGGATTCGGTCTCTCTTTAGATCAGTCTTGCCGTGCGTGCCTCCTCTCGCCCCGCATACCCGCATAGTCGCACTCGGCCTTCCGAAGCATCCCGAAGGCTGGCGAAGCATCGCCAAGTCTGCCGAAGCATGCCCAATTAAGGCCGCCTTGGCATTCCAGGGGCTACCGGCTCGGCATTCCTAAGCATACTCAAGCTTTATTTTGCAGCTATGATCACTATCACTGAAATGGCGTCTATAATGTCATAATCTTAAGGTATATTACTATTCGTCACCTAAAAATCCCTTGCCATACCCGTCAGTGGGTGCCGGGCCCTACATCATGCAGTGAGACGTACGAGATATCACTGGAATGTGCCCGAATGGTCGGAACTGGCACAAAACCGTAAGAAATGGCGTACTTAGATATCCTAAAATCTACTTCAGGTAAGTAAGTAGGTAGATATATTGCTCAGATCCCAAAGTAAATAATTAAAGCGGAAACAACGACGATACCACAAACACTCAGAACGAGACAATACAGAAAAGTTACTTTTTCTACATTAACCCGGCGGGGAATCTAAGGCGGTACCTTAGAGATGGCGACACCGTGAAAAGCGGTGTGTAAGCACTCAACCATGGGGGTTGTCAAAATAAAACACATATTATCTAGTAGCAGTATAGTTCCTTGTGAAGCTCGCAGAGAAGTACTGCGACCTTACATATTTCTGCTGCCAAGTCGTAATGTGAGCATTACTACCACAGACCACATAAATATTCCGTTCCACATAAATACTACGTTCCGATTTTGATGGGTAAGGGTGCTGATGAAATAACAGGCACATGGGACTTGTCAACTTAAGTCTCAAGGTGACGGGTGCAGTGGCAGTGCCCCTCAGATCTTTGAGATTTAAAGTTTTGAGTGGCATTGCATCTGAAACGGACAGGTGTGTCGCTTACTACCAGGCCCACGACTTGTTCGTTCCCGCCAATTAATATCATAAGAAAAACCTATATCAACTTTCATTCATTCAACTGGCCGTAAATTTTCTGGTCACTTAGAACCCTAACTAGGTAAAGCGGGGTCGCCTTTTTTGTTTATGGGGGAATGCTTTATGTATACCTTCGAGCCCGGGGAGGCTTAAGGGTTATGTGGGACTAGCCCTCCAGGTAGAGGATATACCCCACGGAAGAAAAATAAAACAATGGAAGTGCCTTAAGCCTCGATTACTATCAGAACGGATGTCACCAAAACTCACACATTCTTAATTTGAAACATTACAAATTCTTGATATTATTTGGTCGTACTTTCAAATTCTGGTTTGTTAATATCATTGACTTACAAATAAATGGACGACGGGTCTAATACAAAAACCACGAAAAAAATGTCCCAAGTCAACCTATTTAAACGTAGTGACATGTAAAGGAATATGAAAAAGCTAAAACGTTGAAATTAAATTGTAACGTCATCGCAGTACTGTCTAATTTTGCTTGCTTCGCTGTCAGTCGAACAAACGAAGACTAAAGCGTGAATGACGCTCTGTATACGATTTTAACGCCCTATAAGTTCGGACACTTTTTAACGCGTACCCGACGTCGTATAACTGTAAGTCAATGGTTAATATAATTTAAGTCTTATCATGTTCGCATATCGTTGAAAGTTCAATACCATCAATACCTGTTATTATAAGTTACGACGTTTTTACGTCATATTGAAATTTCAATCAATGTGCTGCCATCCAACAATCCATTGCTGAACAACGACGAATTAGAGTTATTAATTTAGTTCTCCAAACAAGAAGCGCCCATATTGCAGGGGTATAAATTTTACTTTCGTTTCTTGTAACAAAAAAAAAAATATTTCGATAAACAGAAAATTTAAACGAAACTATTTTTCCGGATTTAAATCGCGTACATTTGTTTTTCAAACAAACCGACGTTTCGTGCCCTTTACAGGTCCCATGGTCACGATTGAGTGAGGTGTTACAGTCATCAACCAGTTGTGTCATGTCTAATATTAATGCTGATAATCATTGACTTACAATTATATGGACGTCGGGTCCGCGCTAAAAAGTGTCCGCACTTGTAAGGCGCTAAAATCGTATACAGAGCGCCAAACTCCGCTTTAGTCTTCATTTGTTCGATTGACAGCGCGATACTGCGATGACATTACCATTTAAATTTCGAATAGGTTGACTTGGGACATTTTTTTCGTGGTTTTTGTATTAGACCCGTCGTCCATTTATTTGTAAGTCAATGCTAATAATGATTTAAATCCGGAAAAATAATTTCATTTCCTACACACATCAAAAAAAGTTTGCGATCAATAGCATAAGCTCCTATAATTCTTTAAATTTAACTTTATCAAGAAAAAATCTATGTTGTATGCTTTCTTTAAATAGGAATACCCTGTTTGAAATTAAAATATAAAACTATTTTTTATTATTTATTTTAAAAAATTGAGCCATTAATCATAATGTAATAGTGATAGAAATTTCATAGAAAGAAAAAGACTGTTTAATTAAACTTAAACAACAATTTATTATTAAAAGGTGTGAATTCAATATAAAATAACTCCTCCCCTGGCTCGAATACATGCGAAGATCCTCCTGGGCATGCTGAGGATCAAGTTATCCAGCATTTCCTGGGGTAACCTATCCCATTCTTCAATAGCGGCTTCCCTGAGCTCTGGAACTGTCTGAGGACGTGGCTCACGGTTCCATACTGCTCGTTTAAGAGCATCCCACGCGTGCTCTATTGGGTTTAAGTCGGGCGAGCCGGCAGGCCAGTCTAATCGTGTGATATCGTATTCTTGAAGAGCAGCATTGACTCGTTGAGCTCGATGTGCGGGCGCATTATCATCGACCAGTACAAATTGGTGCCCATGGTTTACTCGGAATGGTCTGACGATATCATCAATAGCAACTGCTTTGTACATGTCTGCTGTCATGAAGCCCCGATACGGGATCAAAGGCGTTCTAGCTCCAATCATAATGCCACCCCAAAAGGACACCGATTTTCCGCCTTGCTGAACTGTTCCAGTGGCAGTTCTTTGTCTTTCACGGTCGCCTGGTCTTCTCCAGACATGGACACGTCGGTTATCTGGATGAGTGCTGATTCGGGATTCGTCAAAGAAGAGACAGTTTTGCCAAATGTTTTCGTCCTCACCTTCTTCATTTTGCCGAAGTCTAGCCCACTGCAATCTTCGTTGTTGACGTTGCCGGGAATTGAGCGGAGCTCGCCAAGACCTCCGTGCTCGTAATCCGGCCTGGTGCAAGCAATTGCGAACGGTCTGCGTGCTAACTTCAAGCCCAGAGGCGGCCCTGACTTCTGCTTTTATTTTAGTGGCGTTGATTGTTGGATCACGGGCTGCCAGCAATCTAATATAGCGCTTTTGGGCAGCTGTCAAAACAGTTGGGCGACCGCTGCGGGGTCGGTCAGCTAAATTCCCCATTCCGTGATACCTCTGCAACGTAGCCACGACACAGGATTGGGATATAGCAAGTCTGCGTGCTATTACTCTCGTGGTGTATCCTTCTTCCCTTAAAGTTACTATTCTAGCTCGTAAAACCTCTGATAATCCTCTTGGCATATTTTCAATCACAACTTTCCGCGAAAAATATCTTGAATCGCTTATAATTGACTAAATCAGATTTCTGAATGAGCGTAAGCTAGGACTGAAAGCCTTTTTATATGAAAAAACAATTGAACGGGGTCATTGTTTTATGTTCTAATTTATTTTTAAATAAAGAATCTAAAAAGAAGAAAAAATCATAATATAATCTACAGTAACAAAAAAGATTTCAGTTTTTCGAAGTGATCGCAAACTTTTTTTGATGTGTGTATGTGTAACAATCGCGAAAACCTAAGAACTCGAAATAATTTAAAGTTTATTAAAATAATACTTTCCAATGATATAAAATACCAGCACGTTTTAGCATTCCAAAACAGCGCAATAAGGCATTTTTCTAGGATTTTAGAGAATTTACACGAATGAATGACACAACCATACCTAACAAAGCGAAAATGTCGGACTGAAGTCTTTCGAGACCTATATGTATAGTTGGCACGCGTCAGACGCTATTTATTGTTCTGTGCCATTAAACCCCCTACGGCTTACCCTCTTAGCCAGACGTTGTGAGCGCCGTGGGATCCCGCAGATCCGAGAACGCCGGAACGAGCACTATACGACGACGCCCCCGGGAGCGGGACTCCTAGGACAAGCAATTGTTTTGCTTATAAGGCGTTATCCAGCAAAATTGCTGTGAACTAGGTTTAAGTTTAATTAAAAATAAATATTTACGTTTGTAAATATTTATTTTTAATCAACCATCCGAAACGTAAGGACCTCAATCTCCAATCCTATTTTCATGAACAACATTTGCTTATATTGATTGTAATGAATATTCTTTGTTTCATGAAATTATATCAAATTTGTCATTTATCAAAATGACAATCTTTTTGCAGGAGGTATGGTTTACAGAGATGTAATTTAATAAAACACACCTAGAGCTGGTTACAGCAAGCAAATTTATATTAAATTTAATGTTAACATAAAGTAACCGTTAATGACATTAAAATATTACAACTGTAGAACTGGAGAATTCTCAGATCATGAATTTGTTAACGATTCTGTATACTTCGGATCTTTACTTACCAACCAGGGCGGAAGTGAACGAGATATCAAGAGACAAGCTAACGCGCATCTGATGTAGCAGAAAAGTCTCCAACGTTACCAAATCGAGATTAGTCCTGACATTGGTTTTCTCGATTTTCCTATATGACTCGGAGTCCTGGACGATCCGGGCATCAGAACGCAAAAAAATAGACGCTCTCGAGATGTGGTGTTGGAGAAGGATGCCCCATATACCGTGGACCCCAAGAAGGACAAACCAATTCATAATTGAGCAGCTTCATGTCGCAGACAGACTTTCTACAATATGCTGCCAGAGAATCCTGCAGTATTTTGGTCATATTGCTCGCCGACAACCAGGCAACCTTGACAAACTGGTTCTGGTGGGTAAGTGGAGGGAAAGAGACTCCGCGGTCGATCACCTAGCCGATTGAGTGACCAAGTGACCGCCCTCACTCACCTCCCTATAACAACTGCCCTGAGGGAGGTCAAAAACAGAACCACATGGAAGAAAATCGTCCATAAAATCTCGATGCTACGTGCCTGCACAAACTTGCAGGATCGTGGGTATTGAAATAAAACTGCTGTCCCGCAGCACCGGCGGGCGCGGATGGAAACCGCTCCGTGAATTGTTAACCTTATTAACCTTAAACTGACGCTACTCAACGAGGGATGAACCTAATCGATAGAAACCATGTGGCTGTTTTTAATATTAAAAAAATATTCCATTTGTCATACTATACCTACACTGGTGCTGGTGTATTATTAAATTAATATATTAATATAAATTATTACCATTTTCTTAATGGCAGCCAGTAGGCTTAGGCCAGTGTCAGTTTTATAAGAATAATATAAAAAATATGGCGATCGTCGCCAGTGTCAGTTTTGCATTATACGTTACCACGGGTTGGTGAAGCTGTCATTGTCAAGCGTAAACTCGGACCACCAACGAATTTAATAAATTAAATTCTGTTGTTTTTTATGAGGGATTTATGTAATTTTCTATAATTGTTTCTAATTTATTTTGCATGCATATGTAAAATAAAGCCGATTTTATTTTATATATTTTTTAAATGCATTTGCTATGGAAATTTAAACAAAGTCAGTAATAAGAAAACCAATATTTCGATTTTCCTGCAGCTTCAATCCAACCTTCTCTTATTTTGAACAAATTGGAAAAACTTAAAAATTAAAAATACTCTGCGTTTAGTCTACGAGTATAATGGAATTTAAATATTTAAATTATCTAAAACAATAATACACATACATTTTTCTTCAAGCAACAGCAACATACAAATTCACATGAAATTGAAACGATTGTCCGAATTATGAGTTGTGTTAAAGTTACTCGAAATAAAATGTTTAGTAATAATAAGAATAAAATAAAAGAAATCAATTTAACGTGAATGCTTTTCACTTCGATATTTTAGGGACTTTAATTACAAAAATCATAGTAAGAAATTCAAACATTTCAGTGAAAATTTATCGTCGATAAACATCAGTCATCGTAAATGAACATCACTATATTTGAGTCTAGAAATTTCTATGGCGACAAAAAGAAAATATTGAATAATAATAGAAATAGTAACTAAAAATGCAAATAGCCGGTGGAATGTTATCTCGCTGGTTTTAAAATTTTTGTTTTCACTCAATTTTTTACAAGGTCTATCGCTACAACTTGGCATTTTCAAGTTTTACGAGAGATCTTGTATGTACAACGATCGCCATGTCATTGTGGTGATGTTCGTAGGTGTGTCACCTCGATATGATCTAAATGATCATAATAATATCGAGATCAAATGACACGAACCACTCCCCATACCAAATCTCATATCTATGGACAGGACACGAACCTGCGTCTGCGTAAAACCAGGGCGACCGCTCTACCAACAAGCGCCATTTCTACGAAATTTTCTATGCGTTTGTTACAGCTCTTTGTTTTTTGTTTTAACCCGTCACTTGGTACTATTAAAAAAAATCCCTTTTAAGCATTGACTTACAATTATAATGCTTTTAAGACATATAGGTAGACAACAAGAAATTACTCCCAAAATCAAGATAAATAAGTATAGGCCATACAAATATTTATCCCGGTCCAATTCACTGACACTACTACAAAGAATATAAAAATGCATTCATTCGTTCTCTCTTTCCCAAGAGTAGTACTATAAGAGCGGTAGCAGCGCATTAATAATTTATAGCAGTTCTAAATTTGCCTTTACTACTGTT